CATAACTGTCTCCGACCTCCAGACGGGCGAGCTCTGGTCTTGTAGACACTCTGTCAGTCTTGACTGGAGCAGGTTGAGTGTAGCGATTGTCTTTCTGTTGACCTCGGTTATGTGTTTGGGATCTTGGAACATGGGACAGTTTATCTTTGTGAAATTCGAACTGCCTACGAGTCAGTGTGTGACCAGGAAAGTTTACATGCCTCTTATACCTCGTCTTTTCTCTAATACTTTCATCAGGATCATAATTGTTGCCTTGATTTACAATATCACCATCCATGTCAAGATCAGTGTCTTTTGATGTTGCATCAACTTCTGGCACGTCTAGATCAAGTTCATCATAATGGTTTTCAACTTTGCGGTATGTTTCAAGATCTTTTGGACTGACATCACCATACTGAGAAGTCATCAGCAAGTTGCCAACTTTGTCCTGGTGGTCCTCCAGTGCCATGTGGTGGTTGCTTGACACACTCTTCCTCTGGCGCAGGTTGTCCTTCTCCTTGTGCTTCTTGTAGATGCTGCCTTCTTTTCCTGGAGTCTAGCAGCCGATCTGTCAACAGGGATGCTGTAGTAGCTGCCAGTCATTTGAGTCTTGATGTCTGGGACACTCACAGTATCACTCCCAACTCCATCTTGCAGTGCAGGGTTATCTCCCTTCTTCGACAATAAATGGTCACCTGCAGCATCTCCAGCTGAAACTGACCCAGCATCACTTCCAGCTTTACCTTGCACAGCAGGATTATCTCCCTTGTTTGAAGGCTGCAGTAAGGGGTCATTAGCAGTATCTGTAGGCTGTATACTTGTATTGGATGTGTTAGAGTTTATGATGGGGTCAGTTGAGCTAATTGGGTTGGAGGTGTTTGGTTGGAGGTATTCTGCCTGAATGATAGGACTGCTCATGTGTGATGTAGAAAAGTTGGCAGAAAGTCCTGTGCCATCAACATACCTCTCAAACTGACTTTCACCAGTCACCACATTATCTCGATATGGTTCAATGTCGGTTTCATTGGTACCGCTAAGGTCATTGTCAGCATTCTCGAACTCAGTCTCACCTGCTTCGTATGTTTCATTCCCATCCTCCATGTTGATTCCTGGTTCTTTGAAGACAGTTCCATTGTAGGGGAATAGCTCCTCCAATTGCAGTGTCTCATTGATCTCTTGTAATCTTTCTTCAAGAGTTTCATTCAGGTCCCTTATCATTTCATCAATTGTTTCATTTCGGTTTTGTAAAATTTCTTCAATTGTTTCATTTCTCTCAGCCAAGATGTCCTCAGCTGTTTCATTTGCAATACCAAACATGTCATCAATTGTCTCATTTCTGCCATTCTGTCGATCTTGATTTGTCTCATTTCTTTCTTCAAACCCATCCACAACAGTGCCATTGGCTTCTCCCTGTGAACCATCGACAGTTCCGTTGCCAGGGTTCTCTGCTTCAGCGATGGTCTCATTTGTAGCTTCACCATTGATGCCAGTATTATTAGTGCTGTTTTCCCCATTCGCCAGAGGTCCACCTGCCCTGCCTGTTCCTTGGCCTCCAGGATATCCTGGTCCAGACCCTTGTCCAGGCAACCCACTGCCCATATTCCAGCGTGTACCAGGAACTCCACTGTTCATGCCCGGAAACTGACCACCTCTGCCTGGTAATCCCCAACCATATGGTCCTCTAGGCCTCATCCAACCCAGCCATCCCATTCCTCCAGGACCCCAAGCATAACCATATCCATTCCCGGCAAAATTTGGATTCCATGATCCCAAATTGCCGGCATTGGTCACAGGTCTTCTACCCATATTAAACAACCAAGGGTTAGGATAGCCTCCCGGGAAGACTCTTTCTTCTTCATGTTCAGGTTCATATTCAGCCTCATATTCATTCTCATTTTCGAATTGGTTGTTCTCACTGTTGCCATAGTAACCCCTTGGACCAAAATACCTGTGACCTCTGCCACCTTGACCTGGATTAAACATCCCTTCAGGGTTGTTGGGCATCCATTGGCCATTATTATTATACATGCCACTATTTCCTTCTCCAGTGCCCCCAGTTTGCCCTCCATTCTCTCCCACGCTAGGAGGATTTCCACCAACCCCTGTTCCTGCACTGCCACCTTGGCCTGATTCTGTTCTTGGGTTGCCAGGATTTCCACTGTTTGTACCAAGATGACCTCTATGTTGTGTATTACCTCCACTGTTTCCTGTATTACCACCAGTATTTCCGAAATTGCCACTGTTGCTTCCAGCATTGCCACCATTGTTTCCATCATTGCCACCATTGTTTCCTGCATTGCTGTCTGTATTTCCAAGAACACCACCAGTATTTCCAAGATTGCCACCATCATTAACACCATTATAGCCACCACTGCCCCCTCCATTTCCTGCATCACTGCCAGTATTTCCAAGATTGCCACCAGCATTGCCACCTCTGTTACCTGCTCTACCACCACTATTTCCAAGAAGGCCACCATTGCCACCATTATTTCCAAACCTGGCACCTGTGGTACCACTATTTGCAAAACCACCATTTCTGAAACCAGTATTTCCCATATTGCCACCATATCCAGTGTTGTGTCCATAATGTCCCCAGCTTCTATATCCTTGGTTGTTATGACCCGTATTACCTCAATCTGTCCTCCACTTCCTCCATTGCCTTGGCCAGTATGCATGATATTACCTCCATTAATCCCACCTGCACTCCCACCTTACCCAGAGTCTGCATGTAAATTTCCTCCATTAGTTCCAGTTTGGCCATTATTTCCAATTCCTGCAGTTCCACCATTCCAGCCAAGTCCAGTTCCAGAATTCTGACCATTCCAGCCAACATTACCGAGACTTCCTCCAAGACCTGGCCCACCATTGTATCCAATGTTATAAACATCATCATAATCATACAGTTCATGTGATATGTCAGCACTTTCCACCGATGTGCTGTTATCATCATTTTCCCCTGATTCCACAAGACCAGCATTAACTACAACTTGGCCATTAATCAGAACTTCAGTGCTGTTGTTTTCTGCTGAGTTAACTTCAAATTCTTCCACAACAAGAGGTTCGAACATTCTATGGGGCAACTCACCAGGGTCTTCAGGCAGCATGTGCCTCTCTCCCAATCTCTGGGTGTTCGAATTACCAGGCTGACTAGACATCTCACCAAACTGTCTGGTGCCTCCTGGAATTCCCATTCCTGAATTTCTGGCATTGAATCCTTGATCCGACTGTGGCTTATTGAACACTTCCTGACTCACATTCTCAGTGGAATTGTCCTCAGATTTGTCCTTGGAGGTGGTGTGCAGAATCCAGTCCTTCGATCCAGGGTCACTGTTCTGTGTTTGAGAATTGGTACCGGAGGTCACTGTTTCTATCTTTCTTGGTTCTGATGTTCCTAGATTCAACATTGCACCAATTTCAGTATACACACGTTGAAATATTGCCCAGTGATGAAACACACTTTCAGACATTGCAGAAAGCTTTTCTTGAATACTGTCAATCTGCTGGTTGGATACTTGAATCTGACCCAATGCATCATTAAGTTTAGTCTCCACAGGTGATAACGTCGTCGAGATCCCATCAGTCACATTCACAGAAACAGAAATATTTGTCTTTTCAGCAGTTTCTATCACAGATGAAGAAGTTTCATTAAATTCATGAGGCACAGTTATAGGTGCACAAGTGAAGATGTCTAACACAATGAGGACACATGCACACAGTAATTCCCTTCTCTCAACACCAGCCATCTTGCCGTCTGACCGTCTGCTGACGGTATTATGCTGCTGCAGTATAGGGGCCGTCTGCTAAATAGACAGACGGGCATGACAACAGTGATTAGTCAGCCATTGGAAGGAGTGGCCTCATGTAAAGGGAACCTGATATGCTATTGTCTGTCAATGTCAAAATTGTTCAGATTCGCCTGTTTTGAAAATAGTACATTTTTCCTGTTTCAGAAAGATTTTGCTTACAATTAATGTATTTTCCGTTTTGGAAATATGAATTGAGTGCATATAATAATAAAGTTTTGTTTATTGTCAGTAGTTCATGTTGTGTAATGATCCTCTTTTATAGTCAGATATGTAATTAATAAAGCAAATTTTGTCAGTGTTGGCAATCTTTATTATTTATATGATACCTGGATTAGTTTATGCAGTTATAATTACATATTTGTTTTTTTTATAGGTTTATTAACGATGTAGATTCATTCATTCATTCACTTTAAGAACTTAATTTACTTGAAAATGAAAAGTTGTATAACATTTCAGCTGTGAGTGTTTACAGATTCAGTTTCCTGTAATCCTTTGATATACCATTCACGTGAATCATATGAAGGTCACTGTATTAAAGAGCAGGCAACTCTGTCGATTGGAAACATTGAGAAAATGTTGAAATTGGTTGTCTGTCATTAAGGTCTGGTTAGATGACCAGCCTCTGCCGGTATGTGTGTGGAACAGACGTGTAAAGCAGAGCCGTGTAGGCAGATGTTGGCTGGTGTTAAAAGCAGACCTGTCAATCACTTGTTAAGCCAGACAATGGAAAATGACTTCTGCTTTTGCTGCCTTAGACCTTGCTTGGAGAGATATGGTTTTCCAAAAGTTTAACAAAACAACAAATTCTGTCAACCTGTTGAACATCGTTCATGGCAAGTTTGAATGCTTGCATACCTTTTATGTTTCTAACACATTATTTTATTTTGTCAAGACACATTACCAAAAAATCAGTCTTACTAAGAATTGCTTCATCATAAATGAAAAGTGATGGAGAAAAAAAATATATATATGTGTGTGTGTGTGTGTGTGTGCGCGCGTGTGTGTGCGTGAATCCTGCATTATGCTTGAACATTTTTTGTTCAAAGTACTTGCAATGAAATGTCTGCTCTCTTCCACATCAAGCTAACAAGTCGTGACTGGAATACTGTTGACTTGTCAATAAGTCCAAATCACTCATTCAGTCATGCAGTAGGGAAACCAGGAAGTATGTGTACATGTGTACACAACAGTTAAACTATTCATTTTACATTTCAGACTCTCCAAGAAACAGAAGAAGAAAAGGAAGCAACAAAAACAGCAGCAGGAGGTTAGACAAAATAATTAATGTGGAATCAGAATTGTGTATTGAGATTCTACTTCTCTCATCAACTCAGAACAAGACAGATATACCGTAACAATTTTGTAGCCTGTTGCTGTCATGGCATCTCATGCCTACTAGTGGTATTGATTCTGTGTTCGTGAATCTCTGAAATACTTTGAAAGAAAATATTTGCAAAGACACATCTTACACTGTTCCTGTAACTGATATGCAGTGTGTGGTAAATTGATTATTAATTTGTGGGGGGTTTGTAGATATGACCCTCCAGTTTTTAGGTTTTGATTTTTAGTCTTGTGATTCCTGAATGTGTTGCTTCATTAGCTAAAATACAACAGTTCAAGTTGCAATGTGTACAAACATACATACCAGCAGACGTCAATAACTGTGAACTGATTTGTTTTTGGATGAATACATGGTTATTTAAAATCGTTTTTCTTTGTGTTGAAATCCAGGAAGAAGAAGAAGACATGGAGAAGTTAGAAGACAGACTTGGTGATGTGGATATCGGCACCGAGGATACGCCAGACAGGTAAAGGCAACCACGTGGAGATCACTATACAAGCATATATGTTAGGGGTGACTATTGAGGGGGAAACAACTATTGCGATAGCTATAGTCTATTGCGACATACTATTGCGATAGCGATAGTCTATTTCAACATACTATTGCGATAGCTATAGTCTACTGCGACATACTATTGCGATAGCTATAGTCTATTCCGACATACTATTGCGATAGCTATAATCTACTGCGACCAGCTATTGCAATAGTTTCTTCTCCTTGAATTGTCTCATTTGAAGTCATTTCCCAAATTAATGTATAGTTTATATGAAATATAAACAAGTTGAAGTAGTTTCAGTCTCTTTTAATAACTGACAAGAAACTTGAAATCCAGACGAAGTAAACAGTTAAAACATAAACTCAATGAAGCTGCAAGTCTGCACCCAAACATCCTGTATTTTGCACTGTGTATTTATCAACGGAAGGTAATTACTAAACTATCAATAGTCATGCATACTATCGATGCATCAATAGTTTTTCGTTTCTACTATCGATTAATTGCTATCGGAGACCCAACAATTGCTATCCATCGATAGTTCGATGCATCGTTACAGCCCTAATATATGTCATACAGATTTCACGAAAATGCGTGTCAGAATTCCTATATTTCCTAAACTAGAGCAAGGGTAATACACGTATAAAATTCGTACGCAATGTCTGTAAAGTAACCATGACACAGAAGTATGGGTAATCATTTCTTTATTACTCTTTAGTTCTTAAACATTTTGTGGTCCCTGTAGCAAAATCCATTGATTGATCACATCTCCTGTCCAAAAAACAACTATTGTTGAATGATGTCTTCAGCTATGAGGTCAATTCAAGTATGACGTCATGTGACAATAACCCATGCTTGTCGTAAGAGGCGACTAATGGGATTGGGTGGTCAGGCTCGCTGATGGGTTGACACATGTCATCGTATCCCAATTGCGTAGATCGATGTTCATGCTGTTGATCCCTAGATTGTCTGGTCCAGACCCGATTATTTAGAGACCGCCGCCATATAGATGGAATATTGCTGAGTGTGGCGTAAAACTAAACTCACTCACTCATGTGACAATAAGTACTTTGCCATCCAGATTACGTAAATCATTCATAGATTTGTTTAAAGTAATATTTGCACTGATGCACATACTATTTTTATGAACTTGGTAATGGTTTAACCCAATGGGTAGAAATTCAGAATATACAGCACAGTTCGCTTGCCTTTCTAAAAAGACCAAACCCAGTCTGAAATCCATGTTGTATACAACATTGCTGACATATTTCTCCGTTTGACTCCAGCACATCGCAGAAACACAAGGCCAAGGAGGACCCTAGCGGTGACACACCGGAGGTAGGTTGTTGTAGGGAAATAGTCCCAGATGTACAGACTGACAGTACCTGTAAGCCCCTATTGTCTCCCCAGTCTGGTGACAGGTGATGGGTGTCCTACACGGCAGAGGTAACCCTAGCTGTGTGAGAATGGGACCCCTGGAGCTAGGGAGGAGTGCCCTCTGCCTCATGCTGGGGGATGTATGGGAAGGTGACTTTATTGATGACATGAAGGGGGGATGTCATGTTGGAGTTTACGCAGGCAGGTCATTACTTTAGTAGCTTTGTGAACTTTTGAGATATTGCAGTTATTCTACATTGGGCACTGAAAGTTTCTATTCTTTTCAGTGGGTTTACAGATCTACTCTTCTCCTCTCTCTCTACCCACCCCCACCCCCCACCACCCCATGAAGATCCAGGGTAGAATTGGTCTTCAGCAACCCATGCTTGTCGTAAGAGGCGACTAACGAGATCAGGTGGTCAGGCTCGCTGACTTGGTTGACACATGTCATCGGTTTCCCAACTGCGCATTTCGATGCTCATGCTGTTGATCACTGGATTGTCTAGTCCTGACTCAATTATTTACAGACCGCCGCCATATAGCTGGAATATTGCTGAGTGTGGCGTAAAACTAAACACACTCACTCACTTTCCATCTTCATAAAAGGTAGCGGGGTAGCCCAGTGGTTAAAGCATTTCCTCAGCACACCAAATGCATGGGTTCTGTTCCCATCATTGATACAACATGTAAAGCCCATTTCTTCTGTCCCCAGCAGTGATATCGCTGAAACCACACTCGCGCATATTTTACAAATGTACTTGTCAAAATGTGAGGACAAGGTTCTTATCTAATAGCTGTAAGGAAGTGACTCTTGATTTGATAAAGCAGTAGCCTACCCTTTTAGGTTATTATTTACTTATGATACTAGTAGGTTTCTCAGTAGGATAAAAGAAGCAGATAAAGCTGGCATCTGATGAGGTCATTTATTAATGAATGGATAAATAGGCTTCCATTGATAGCTGAAAAATATGTCATTGCCCTTGTCTTTCATCTATCAAGTCAGAATTAAACATCAGGTATCTGAACTCATTACTGGGATAATTATTGTCTAAATAATAGTCTTGGATACGTAAATCAGTCTGTAACTGGGATGCAATGTAGGCCTTTACCGAATGTGGGCTATACTGGAGATACAATGACAATGACAATGACATGACAATACTTTATTACCCCCAGGGGATTTCTGTTTACATTTGAGACCGCCTCTGTGGTGTAGTGGTTAGAGCGTCTGCCCGGAAGGTCGCAGGTTCGTTCCCCGGCCGCATCATAACAAAAGACGTTACATTATGGTACTTGTGCCCTGCCTGGTGCTCGGCATTAATGGGTACAAGGACTGGGCGGCTCGGAGTCAGTATAATGTGTCTGAGTGGGGTATGCTTAACTGCGGCATGGTATCTCAATGAGCTAGCACTATAAAACCAGCTAAGTCTGAGCTAGTACAAGCAGCCACACATACACACGCATGCACATCGTCATATGAGCGAAATATTCTTAAGTGCGACGTTAAACCCAATTTCACCTCACCTCACCTTTTACATTTGAAAGTGATTTGTGAATCAGTTGTATTGTGCGTGTAGGCACACATACATGATTTGGGACCTATAATTGAAAACTTAATCAAAATATGTCTGAAAGTGTTCAACAAAACCATGTAGACAGCGGGAATATTGCTGGGTTTTATGTCAAACAACAAACAATTAGCACTTGAGTTGCCATCGTGTTTCTGAAAATAGCCCGTCATGCTTTCTGTTGTATAGGCATGTACAGGCAGCAGAGTGGAGGGAGATGTGGGAGGAGCCTCTGGAGAGAAGGATGCAAGTGATGTCACACCAGGTGGAACTAGTCACACGGACAGTTGCCATGGAGATGTCACGGAAAACACACCTGCAGAAAAGTCAAAGCCAGATGGCAGAAAAGCCAGCAATACTAAACCTAAAGAGGTGAATACTCAATTTAGTGAATTTTAAACCTGACTAGGTAGATCCTAGACCTAACCAGGTGAATATTAAATCTAACCAGGTAAATACGATTCCTTCTAAGTGCAATACAAAAGCAAAGTGAATATAAAATCTAACCAGAGTGAATACTAGATCTATGAATTTATAAGTGAACTGGGTAAATACTAGACCTTACCAAAGTAAAAATACACTTAATCACATGAATACTAAACTTATCTGGCTGAACTCGCTAATTAATCATGTGAATGCTTGATATATTCAGGTAAATTTAAACTTAAAGTGGCATTCAAACAGCAAACTTAAGTTTGACAACACATTTCAAAAGTGTTACACTTTAGTGACATTTGGAGCGATACCATTTTGTAAGTCGAGTTGACCAGACGACCAACATATCACGTGACAATTTTGTTGACTGCGATTGGTTGTTTCTGAACAACAAGAGTTTGAAAACACTACACATGTCAAATCTGAGTTTGACAACACCAAAAATTTGATGGAAAAGTTGTTGAGAATGGAGACCAATCCTATTTCTCAACAACAATTTGACAACTGAATTGAATTGGTGTTGGTGGCGAGTTGTTGGAATGTTCACATTCTCAAACTCAAGTTTGGCATGTGAAGGCCGCTTAACACAGTGATTACAAGACTTAACTAAAGCAGTTCAACTTTTCCAAAAATCACAGATGATCTCTCATACAGTTGTTGGTTGAGCGAGAGAAACTCTGTGAGAAGTGATATACAAGATGGAGCTAGTGAAATTGCTTCCAAGACAAGTTTAGGAGATGATTGGGTCCTGAATTTTGTCATTTTTTATTAGGGGTACACTTGGTATTCACTGGAATAGTACTAAAATGTGTTAAACCCAACTCACTCACTCACTCATTATCGCCTGGGCGATTTGGTAGTCTAATGGTTTATAGCGTTTGTTCATCATGCCAAAGGCCTGGGTTCAAGTCCCTATATGAGTACAATGTGTGAAGCCCATTTCTGGCCTTCCATACCATATTGCTTGAATATTGCAAAAAGTGGAATAAAACCCAACTCACTCACCCACTCATAATAATTGTGGGTGTGATATGGTGGTTCTGTTTGTTTCAGGTGTTCAAGTGTAATGTGTGTCGAAATCAGTTTGGGACGCGGAATAAACTATTTACTCACATCAAGGAACAAGGTCATGCGCTCCGAGTTACAGACTCTGCAGAAGAAACCATAGAACGTCCCAGCGGCAAGAAGAACAAGAAGAAAGGGAAGAGATGACGAGAGCCATTTTTATTTTAGATCATTTTATTGTATCATATCTGTATATGACTCATTGCTGAATAAAGAATATAAGATTGAATATAGCTGCGAGCAGCGATGTAGGGCTCCTTGGATGTACTTCTTTGGAGCCTTGTGCATCTCTCACATATCTCATGAAAGTAGTAATGGTATTAGTTAATATGAATCATATCACTGCTAGTTGAATGCTCTTCGACTGGAAGTACTGGGAGGTCATTAAATCTCGATATACTCATCAAAAATCCTATTTTCGTAGATTAAATAATATCACTTAGGTACAATGAATATCAAAACAGAAGAACCCTTTGTTCAAACAGTCAGAGAAACAGAAAATTTTGTGGCCTGAACTAAATAATTTGAAAGGTTCACTGTGACTGACATTATGTGAATTTAAATGTACGTCACATGTAGCTGACAAATTAAGTGATTCACATTTAACGGTCAGTAAACACAACTCATGTGCCATTTCCACGGAAAAGAATGACATTTTTCGTGCTCTTTATTATGGTGCATTGCCTACTGATAGAGGTACCTGGCGAGAGTTTAGTGCGGATTTTTCTGCACTGTTGGTAGACACACCATTTCCATCTAAATATCAACAGCAACCAAAAGACATGTCGACCACTTAAGCACTTTCGTGCTCTGTATTTTCGGGTAGCGTTTATCAATATCCATAACACTGTTCCTCTCACGCTGACACAAGTGAACATGTGGTTTTACAGCAATTAACGTACTCCAGTAGGGGGTATTCTCGGGACGTGGACATCCTAAGTCGTGTAAAAGCAAAGTCTAGAAAAATGTGTCCACTTTGGGTTACTAAGCCAATTAACGCCAGACAATAGACAGAGTTTGTGATTGCAAGACTTCAGGCAATGCTAGACTGCGTAATTATAAGGAAACGAAACAAGGGTTTATTTACAGTTTTAATAAAATTATAATACACTGTGTCGGCAATGACGCTAATGTTCCCACGGTTATTAAACATCGACAAATCTCAGTTTCATTTGGATCAGCGTGGGGTGGTTGTGAGAGGATGTCGTTACCTGTAGATACAGTTGATTTACAACACTTGATGCCACGAACACCAGTCATTTCTTCTTCTCTTCAGGATTCTGTATGGGTGTCAATTCACGCAGAAATATCTTCCGCCTCGAAATGTCAGAAGTAATTTGTAATCTAACTGTAGCAACAATTTCCTGACAGTGATTATTACTCACCTAGTGTGTACACTTATCGGAGTGAACACATTTTATGAAATCAGTCAACACTACAAGCGATTTCTGAGTGAACTCACTCACCTATCATAGTCACATGCTAACCACGCTTACCAGAGTGAACTACCAGAGTGAACAGACTCACGAAACCTTCACAATTCCGGTAACAGTTAGGATTTTAACACTTCCCGACCAGTTAATCCCTTACTTAAAACAGACGACATCAAAGGAAACCCGTCTGTCCACGTCCTGAGAAGACAGACAAATATTTTCCTTAAGTCTCACCTCATGTAAAAAGTACAGAAGTGGCATATATGATAAAAGGTACACTATGGATTTAGCCGCATAAAATAAGTTTTCTTCTTTGAAGAACGCAGGTTTTGGCTGTAAAATAAACATGTTCTTTAAATAGTAAAATCATTTCTTCATTATCACATAAATCTAAGAAGTTGGGATAGCTGGAAACACATATGGCAATATAAACTTTCACGTAGATCATCGTACAGCGCACATGCCAACAGTACATGACGTTCGACTTAAATCTTATCACTACATTGAAAACACACTCTTTCATTTACATGCATATTTGAATATCTGCCTGTTTCCAACTTTAGAGGTGCAGAACCGGATCTAAACTTGGAAAGGGCAGATCGATAGGAAACGCGGCATTTGCACACTTACATAGCTTTCGCAACCATACACACTTCTCTCGCCTCCCATACCTGCGTGAACCACGCTTTGCAGTGGTAGTCTCTTTATTGGACATATCATGAGGGGGAAATTAAGCCGACAAACAGTCGCCAAGGTATCCCATGCACATGTTGATATGTAGATATAGATGTAGATGTTATGACTGCATACTTACCTATTACTTTTCAAGTGCTATCCATGCTGACACGGTGAATAAAACGTGCACAACTTGTCTGCGTTTGTGTGGAATCGATAACAAACAGCGCGTTTCAAGGAGCGGCTATAATCGTCCTCGCGCTTTTCTTCAGACTGTCGCATGTTTTGCACGGGTAATGTGCCGTGTGTCGTAAATGTGTGAGAAACTCTTTGAAACATTCGGCAATGTATCCCTGGGCCTTCGGTGATGTAAAGTACTGCCATATAGCTTGAATATTGCTGACTCCGGCGTAAAACTAAACTCACTCACTCACTCTCACGCTGATGCAAGTGAACTTGTAATTTCACAGCAATGAAGGTACTTCAGTAGTTTGTATTAGTATCCATTACACTGTTACACTCGGGCTGTTGCAAATGAATAGTGAATCGAGAGCAGGTATATATACTGGAAATACACCTAACAGCTCGATAAAGGTCACCTATGAAGTTTTAAAATCCATTACAAACAGCACCGAATTGTTAGCACAAAGCGTATTACTCTTCGGGCATTGCAAAGTCGGCGCCTGGTCTTCGTTGAACGATTTTACTAGCGCTTACTTCAGCTAGACCAGAGTTTCCCCACAGACCACAGCTACAACTTTTACCCTGACCCAGAACGCTCAATCATTGACAATCTTTAGAAGCTGCCTAAAGACATACCCCTTACAAAAAGATTCAATTACAATGAAGGAATAGCACCTCTACTGCAGTGTATTTTAATTTTGTGTAGCGCTAGCGCTCGTCATTGTCAATTGAAATTTACATCGTCTCCCATATCTGCACGTGGACCACGCTTTGCAGTGGTAGTCTCTTTATAGGAGATATCGTCCTTTTGCGCCTTCCTTCAGACTGTCGCATGTTTTTGCACGGGTAATCTGCCGTGCCGTAAATGTCGATGAAACTTATGACACATTCGGCAATGTATCCCTGGGCCGTCGGCGATAAAAGAAGTCCCTATTTCGTTAAATCTGTCCAAACTTTGGGTTTTGACTGTAAGTATTATCTATGATGACTGGTACGTTGTTGAAAGTCTGTTTGCGTCATATTTAGCGTGTTCAGCCTAGGAGTTGTGGGTGAGTTTGTTTGGTACTCTTTTTCTTTCATTTGGGGCTCGTCTCAAACAGTTTTTTTCTTTTGGCTCCCATACATTGTATTCACACGGATAATGTTGAACGTCTTAAGCGCTTACAGTGACTTTTGACATTGGACCAAGAACAGAAAATGTTTAACAACCAAAGGCCACTTCAGAACAAGCGTTTAAACTGTTGTATGTGCTAAGTTTAGTTTGGCACAAAATGGCAAAGAAGCCCGTGAAAGTTTTTGAAGACAACTTTTGCCCAGAAGTAGCGTCCAACATGGCGGCCATCAAATACACATAGCCACATTTGACGATGCTACTGTGTAGTAAGGTGCATAGACACAAAGTATGCAAAGTTTGAAAGCCGTAGCTTCTTGAAGTTTCAGTGCAGCACATTTTGGGAGGAAAGTAGTCAGCATTTTGCTTGAAAACATCACTGCCAAAACTTCAATCCAAAATAGCGGCCAAACGGTGCATTTTAGCGACTTGAGCCGTCCAGGCAAAGTTTTGGGAGAAATAGGAATTTTGTTAAATCTGCCCTTTGCTAGGGTACAGAATGGCATTTTATTTGCTGTTATTTGAAGTAGAAACATATATATAATGCCCTAAATATGGAGAATCTCTTTATTTGTATACTGTAGATCTTAATACCATACCTCCTGAAGTCCACAGTACTTAGAATGATAAAATATTGTGTTTTTTATTGTATAGTAGCATGTGTGCTAATACAATCAGCCACCGTTGTGTTCACCTTACTTAGATCAGGGCCCCGTTCCTCAAAGCGATCGTAGCGCTACGACTATCGTAAGTCTATGTTAAAGTATGGGAGTTACGATCATCTTAGCGCTACGATCGCTTTCTGGAACGGGGCCCAGGCTGTAGAGAATCTCTTGCTTTGTATACTAAAGATCATAATACCATGCTCCCTGTAGTCCTCACCACTTATATAGAATTATGAAATGTCATGGTTTTTAATACAGTTAAACAATGTTGTGTAGAAGTTGAGGGGACCAGTGCAAATACTTTGAGTTAACACTTAGACACATCTGAAATATGATGAAAATAGAAAGAATGCAAAGAGACCAAGCTTTCATTTCCAGACAACCACACCAGGGCGGATACAGTGTTTTGAGAAAGGGGTGCACACTCTTGAGAAGGGATGGGGGTGTGTGCACACACTTCATTTTCACGAGAGTTTCAATAGTAATTTAATAAACTTTCAGGTGAAAAGGAGGATGCGCACCCCCTCTGGATCCACCTATGCACACATCATTGTCACAATGGTGTTTGACTGTTCTTTTAGAGTAAAGGCAAGTCACTCCAGCAATAACGAATATTGCTTACAGTAATGACAGGAATAGCACTTCACAAGAATATCCTGTGATAAACATTGAAGTTCCATCATACCATTAGAAACCTGTGCAGATCCGGGTTGGTCTTCAGCAACCCATGCTTGTCTCCCCTGTGAAGATCCAAGTTAGAATCGGTCTTCAGCAACCCATGCTTGTCGTAAGAAGTGACTGACTGGATCGGGTGGTCAGGTTTGCTGACTTACATGTCATCCTATCGGAGTTGCGTAGATCGATGCTCATGCTGTTGATCACTGTATTGTCTGTTCTAGATTCAATTATTTACAGATCGCTGCCGTTGTACTAAACAACAAACTAACAAAGATCATATAGTTACAATTGGGGGTGGGGCTGTATTCAGCTGTGTGTAGTCAGAGTTGTAAACGTAGTTATATTGATTATGTGGGAAGCATATAAGAATCCTCTAGTAAAGATTGCTTTTGCAATATAAATAATTCAAACAAAATACAAAATCGACTAAAACAAAATTTATTTCAACAGTAAATCATTACAAATCAAAGTACTTTAAAGGTATAACAATCTGTGGATGAACAACTTCATACAGTGACTCACAGTGAAGTGATTAAACTTCTAAATGCCTCTCAAAGAAGTTAAATACCAAGGCATATCTATCAACATTTAAGATGACGAAAACTATTCAGTAGAGCATTATTTTGAAAAAGTCCCAACTCCATGATCAAATCTTTCACTATCAAGAAACAAAGTGTGGTCTTACAGTCTGCATTAAGAAGTATTTATATATTCACTGACAACCACTTGTACACACATTCAGTTTTCTCTACTCAACCACACACACTCCAGCTGGCTGATCACACGGTCCACAACTCACTCTTTCAACCACCCACTCTCACTCATCCACACACCACCCATGCAACAACTGACAACCATGATCCAGTCATTCATTCACCTTAAAGATACCCGTTAGAATTGGTCTTCAAATAACCCATGCTTGTCGTAACAGGCAACTGACTGGATGGGTGGTCTGGCTCGCAGAGTTTGTTAATGCATGACATCGTATTCCACTTTCTTAGATCGATGCTTATGATGTCATTCACTGGATTGTGTGATCTAGTGCCGATTATATGACTGCAGTCATTCAGCTGAATTAGACGTATTGTACAGTTAAGCTGCAAAATAACAAACTATCCATCAGTCATGTCGGTTGGGCTGAGTATTATAGAATTGAAACAGAACACACTGTATTCCATGATGAAGACATCTCCATCTCATCAGATATAAGTGCGCACTACTGTTACAGTTTTCCCAGAAATTATTGAGAAAATCTTTGTTTTCTAATACTGATAATAGAATTTTAAAATAGGTGTTACATTATGTAGGAAGGTACTCAATATGGGAGGCAACTCTTGTAGGCTTAAGAATGAATCTTACTACGTCAAGAGTTATCTCCCCTGGTGTTGCAGAATGCTTCCTTTGTTGATTTGACAGCGGAAGAGAAAATAACGCTGGTTCTAGATGATTTTGAATGGGGTGTGACTAATGCAAACGGTGTCCCCCGCCGTGATGTTGCTGGAATATTGCTAAAAGCGGCGTAAAACCAAAACTCACTCACTCCTATAGGCGCCATCACATGGTTGGAATATTGCAGACAACAAGCACCATTATATTTTTACATTTTGTTTATCACAGATTTGCTTCGATCCTCGAGTTATGTTGTAAAAACGTATCTCCCCATGCTTAGAGTCTAAGTAGAGGTTAACTTTTTTCCTCATTAATGAGAATGGGGGTACGCTCTTCGTCGACGACGACCTTCTTGTACATGCAGTTCTGTACGAGGAACACCACGTCGAACATCATGGAGAACAGACCGAGGCCAAACTTGGTGGGGTCGCCGATGATGGAACCCCAATCATCTGTCAACATGGGGAAATTCAACATCAGATTGGAACAGACAAAAAGCAACATACAGACCAACAGGCAAGAAGGTTCAAATACATAATTTGGTTCTCATAACGCACACCCCCCCTGAAATGACCCCCGTTCCAACACTTGAAAAAATCTACTTTCAGGAACGAATTTTCAACTCGTATTTTGTCTTTGCAAACTGAATGTCAAAAGTCAAGAAACAGAAATATTAAATGGCCCGACAGTCTAGTATACCTATATACAAGGAAAAGGCTTAATTAGCTTCGAAAGAAAATGTTATAGCAGTAAATACGTATATATTTGCATGTAAAAGAAAAGTGACTGCGCCATGCCTAAAATCCTTTAATTTGATTTTTGTGTATTTTATCATACACATGTATTATACAGAAACAACGAAAACTCGTTTTCAATGTTTAAGTTTGTGGGTTGATAAGTTCTTTAACGCCACACTCAGCAATATTCCAGCTATATGGCTGCGATCTGTACATAATCGAGTGTGGATCAGAAAATCCAGTGATCAACAGCATTAGCATCAATCTACGCAATTGGAATACGATGACATTTGTCAACCAATTCAGCGAGCCTGACCACCCGATCCCGTTAGTCGCCTCTTACGACAAGCATGGGTTACTGAAGGTTCATTCTAACCCGGATCTTCACGGGCATTCACTGTTTAAGAACAATGCATCTTGTTATCATTTAAGTAAAACATATGTTCTGTTAAAAGTAAAATTGTGAGCTGTATGATAGAATTTATTATGTAAACACTTTTCATCCCGCACTCTTCCCTTCCGTATAAATAGACCGTGATATTGCTGAAATATTGCTGAAAGCTGCGTAAAACCATAATCACTCATTCATAAATACACCCATGTGAACCGAAGATGAAACGTACCGCTGTTTATGGAGAGAAGAAACATTTGTAGAACACTGAACAGTCCCCCTGTGAAGTCGCATGCCACTGCCACAATGCTGAACCCTTCTATAGACTTGGTCTTGTAGATCATGTACGCCTGCACAAGGTAAAGCAAGATTTGGCTTTTTATTCCATGTACTATCTCTTAATTATGATGATAACACTTGACCCACTGGTTACCATGACATCGTTCCGGAAGTGATGGCGCCATCTCACTTTTGCCAATAAGTAACTGCCCACAAGGTTTCTCTCGCATATGATTGTAATTTGATTGGACGGTTATTTTTAGTGTTATGTTATTCGAATCAGAAACAGTCATGGTAGAAAATGTGTTAACGGTATTCATTGTAATAGAGTCAAATCACACAGTGTAAGACTATTCTTATAACTGAAAGGAGATATAACAGATTAGCTTAGAGGAAGAAAAGGCAGGCAAAAGAAAACAAAACCCAAATCACCGATAAAGTTGTTACTGAATGGCATCAAGCACCATACAATCATATGACCTACGACTATCAGGTCCGCTAGGCTCTCGTTTTTTCAATTCCCAATAACACCACGGATACCGGGATTGCTTTTATTATCGACCGGTGTGACGATTCATCGATACGCATCGATGCATCGATCCATGGGCCGCCGATACAGTGAATCGATACAAAATTTTACATTGTCGTATATCCTGATACGATAGTCAAATGGGCCACGATACATCGATGTTTAACTTTGAATATGCCGAATCGCGATATGTGTCAAGATATGCTGTTTTTAAAATCAGCACAAATTTCATTCTATTATGTGACTGCAGTGACAGCATCCAGCAACATGCAGATATTAAAGATGTTTTTGATGTATGTTTTCTGTTTATAACAGTATTATGTTTTATTTATTTTGTACTTGTTTTGAAAAAGTGCCTAATGTGACTTTTTCAAATTAAAGTTTCTTTCATTTAAACATTGTTTTTGTTTTGATCTTATGGTGTTTTATAGTTGGTGTTAGAATTAGTATCGTGATACGTATCGTATCGCCACCCATATATCGGGATTCGTATCGTATCGCAGCTTTTGTGCACAATACTTTGACAATATATCGTCATGACTAAATTCTTCTTATAGTGATGTATCGTATCGCAGGTTGTATGCCAATACCAGCACTAAGCAGAGCACAACAGGCCGCCAACCTTACATTGCTGCATGAACAACCTTCGATATATAATTTGACTTGGCAATCACATGAAAGAAGACATTTTCTTTGTCGTTTTGTTACAAAACAAACGAATCTGTCTGTCGTGTACCTGTGGTGAGTATTTGATGAGCGTGATGCCCAGCTTGATGTAGGAGAAGTAGTACAGGTAAGTCAGCCAGGTGATCTTGCCGGCCACCGCAACAAACAGCGTGATGACCAGGAACAGATAGATGAGACCTTGTATGGCGTGACACACCTTCGAGATCTTCTGACTGCCTCGCTGAAACAAAGGAAGATACCTATAAGTATTACGTATCAGTATTACTTCATGATAATGAAACATGAGTGAATGAGTGTGATGGGTTCAACTCCTCTTTAAACAGCATATACATGTATACCACGGCGTGTGGGAAAGTCATAAGGTCTCAGACCTTTACTTCTGTGTTGGACCCGTGAAGGTCCGGGTAGAAATTGATCTTCAGTGACCCATGCTTGTCGTAAGAGGCGACTAACGGGACCGGGTGGTCAGGCTCGCTGACTTGGTGGACACATGTCATCGTATCCCAATTCCGTAGATCGGTGCTTATGCTGTTGATCACTGGATTGTCTGGTCCAGACTCGATTATTTATAGACCGCCGCCAAATAGCTGGAATATTCACTGATTTTGCTGAGTGCAGCGTAACTGAATCAGGGCGAACCTGGATTCACAGGTTTCTAAACGCAAACCCGGTCCTCATGCCACCTTTACCAAACATGCAGTTGAGCCCACACCTAATACACATGTACACGGGCACGGAATCGGAAGTTTTTCGTAAAACAGTTAATCACGGTCTGTCAGCTTGAAGTGATTCGCGTCTTAAACACTACAAATTAATAGAACATATATGAGCACGGGTGAAGTGCGGGCGAAGTGCCAAGGTTCTGGGAACTGCGGTACCCTAGCCGACTAGACTGCCATCGTCCATTCATAGACACAAGAAGAAGCCCAACTTGTCCAAGTGAACCAGTACATCTCCACATAAGGGACATCATAAATGTTGCACATTATTTTTAAGAGAATCATGAAGCGTCAACAGGACTTACGTCATATATGAGGCACTGGATGACGATGAACAACGACAAGACAAAGGCGTGCAGGGCGAAGAATACGTCATTCAGTTGCACTGGGTTGATGCCCCGGGGGTGTATCACGAAGTATTCCGCCTAGGGTAAAACAGAAAGGTCAGAGAGTGAATGTTGTTTTCCTCCACAGTCAGCGATATACAAGTACATCACGACTACCAAAAGAATACATACTGTAAATATATATTATATATATATTCTGCTTCCATTTACCGCTAATAGCGCATCTATGTGAGTGAGTGAGTTTAGTTTTACGCCGCACTCAGCAATATTCCAGCTATATGGCGGCGGTCTGTAAATAATTGAGTCTGGACCAGACAATCCAGTGATCAACAGCATGAGCATCGATCTGCGCAATTGGGAACCGATGACATGTGTCAACCAAGTCAGCGAGCCTGACCACCCGATCCCGTTAGTCGCCTCTTACGACAAGCATGGGTTACTGAAGGTTCATTCTAACCCGGACCTTCACGGGTCGCATCTATGTATCTGCAGTGTACATCTCGTACCCAGAGTGTGATGTAGATATAGGTATTTTCTGTTGTGACTTGCAATCAGCCAGGTATGAGTACCTGTATTGATGGTATCCAGAAAAGCCCACAGTTGTAAAGAGCATATGCGATGAAGCTTGTCATGTTGTAGCTGATGAAGTCAAGGTTGAGGCCCACGACACTGGAGATTATAGCAGGAATTTAATAACTGTTAGCTCTCGATGACATATTTACTTGTAGTGATGAAACTGTCGAGGGTTCGGTATTCAAGCTGGGCCTTCTGTATGAGGCACGAAAGTACCCACATCAAGGTTCTGGTGTATGAGTGAGTGAGTAGAAGAGTTGATGAGTGTGCGGTTGGGAGACTGGGTGAGTAGAAGGCTGGATGGCGAGTGTGTTTTGAGTGAGTGAGTTGGTTGTAGGGCTGATGAGTGGATTTGTTGGTGAGTGAGTGAGGAAGAGGGGGAAAGGGTAGGTGGGTTGGTAAGTGGGTGAGTGAGCGGGTACGAAGGTTGGATGGTGGATGTGTTTAAGTGAGTACGTTGATGGGCTGATGAGTGCATGAGTAAGTGGATTTGTTGATGAGTGAGCGAGGGAGGGAGCCAGCGGGTGGGTGGGTTGGTAAGTGGTTGAGTGAGTCGGTTGGAAGGTGGAGCCGGTAGGAAGGCTGGATGGTGGAGTGGGTAGGAAGGCTGGATGGTGGAGTGGGTAGGAAGGCTGGATGGTGGAGTGGGTAGGAAGGCTGGCTGGATGGTGGAGTGGGTAGGAAGGCTGGATGGTGGAGTGGGTAGGAAGGCTGGATGGTGGAGCCGGTAGGAAGGCTGGATGGAGGTGGGTAGGAGGCTGGATGGTGGAGTGGGTAGGGAAGGCTGGATGGTGGAGTGGGTAGGAAGGCTGGATGGTGGAGTGGGTAGGAAGGCTGGATGGTGGAGTGGGTAGGAAGGCTGGATGGTGGAGTGGGTAGGAAGGCTGGATGGTGGAGTGGGTAGGAAGGCTGGATGGTGGAGTGGGTAGGAAGGCTGGATGTGGAGTGGGTAGGAAGGCTGGATGGTGGAGTGGGTAGGAAGGCTGGATGGTGGAGTGGTGGAGGAGGCTGGGAATGGTGGAGTGGGTAGGAAGGCTGGATGGGTGGAGTGGGTAGGAGTGGTGGCTGGCTGGATGGTGGAGCCGGTAGGAAGGCTGGATGGTGGAGTGGGTAGGAAGGCTGGATGGGTGGAAGGCTGGATGAGTAGGATGGAGGCTGGATGGGTGGAGTGGATGGCGGAGTGCAGGAAGGCTGGATGGTGGAGTGGGTAGGAAGGCTGGATGGTGGAGTGGGTAGGAAGGCTGGATGGTGGAGTGGGTAGGAAGGCTGGATGGTGGAGTGGGTAGGAAGGCTGGATGGTGGAGTGGGTAGGAAGGCTGGAAGGCTGGAGTGGGGTAGGAAGGCTGGATGGTGGAGTGGGTAGGAAGGCTGGATGGTGGATGGAAGGCTGGATGATGGGTGGAAGGCTGGATGGTGGAGCCGGGTAGGAAGGCTGGATGGTGGAGTGGGTAGGAAGGCTGGATGGATGGAGTGGGTAGGAAGGCTGGATGGATGGATGGTGGGTGGGTAGGATGGCTGGATGGTGGAGTGGGTAGGAAGGCTGGATGGATGGAGGCGGTAGGGAAGGCTGGATGGATGGTGGAGCCTGGTAGGAGGCTGGATGGATGGTGGAGTGGGTAGGAAGGCTAGATGATGGAGCCGGTAGGATGGCTGGATGGTGGAGTGGGTAGGAAGGCTGGATGATGGAGTGGGTAGGAAGGCTGGATGGTGGAGCCGGTAGGATGGCTGGATGGATGGTGGAGTGGGTAGGACGGCTGGATGGTGGATGTGTTCCAGTAAGGCAGTAAGTGGGTGGGCTGATGAGTGCAGTATGAGAAGATATGAGAAAATAGAATATATTCTCCAAGAAACTGACATGTATGCATAAGATGTGAAGCAATTTCATAAATTATATTTTTTTTAGTTTTAACTTCATGATGGTGGTTACCTCTTCCTTCTCCAGTTGGTGTAGACTTGGGGATAACCAGCCAGTGTCCAGGCAACGAAATAAATCCAGCCAATTACAACCGAGACAATATTCAGCGCGGAGCTCTTGATGACATCTACCCGGATGTAAAGTGACGACAGGCTACGGAAATATATGAATCATTCAATACAGTTTCGTTTGTAATTTTGTCACCTTGAAATGCTCTGAATGAACCGTCCTTTCAACGGTTTATATCTTAAGGCTTTTCTGTGTTATTGTAGAAGTATTCTAATATAAATAAATTACAAGTTACTATATATGTGTTTTTACCTTTTTTCACACTTTCAAAATTTATTCCATTATTTTAGTGAACAAAAACCGCAAACACCAGATAACACCATTTGGCTTAAAAAACTAACGATGCTTAGCGGTGAAGGGGTCCTGGATATTATTCGTATCAGAACAAAGATAAAATACACCGGATGACAGGTAAATATTAAAGATTGTCCCTATTTCACTATCCATAAGAGCTTCACACTGAGAAAATAACACCATCTCAAACGACATATTGAGTTAACTAACTTCATGTAAGTTAACTATTAAAAGTATTCTTAAACAGGAAATTTGTATTTGAAACGTCGCCCTTTGATTTTGTTTTTAACACAAGAATTTCTTACTCTTCAAACTCTGGTGACGTTGAGTTGACGCCGACAAAGACGTGGCCAGGGTTGACGCCGGAGATGTGGACATGTCTGCACAGCGGGGTGCCCCTCCTTAGCGTTAGGTTATGAAGGGGGGCGACAACCTCCCTGTCATCTGAGAAGAACACTCCTTTTCCAGTGTCATAGGTGAACAACAAGATGGCCGTCTTTGACAAGGACTGTCTGCGACAACAATAGAAGGCATTCAGTTACATACAACCCGTTATCCTTTTGTTCAAGTGTTGGGAATTTGCCATAGCTTTGACAACATCCCACCGTCAAGGGTGCAGGTCATCATGCAAAAGAAGCAGTTTCTGTAATAAATACCTGCCCTTTGGTTCTTCTCCCAGACAAGTCGTAGTCCCTGAATAAATATCATTTTGACAGAAACAAAATTTCTTTTAAATTGAAAAGGAGCCCCAGTGTGATGGGAGAATCAAAACCCGGGGAAATCTAGACTTGCTTCATTTATTGCTTTAGCATTGCAGAAAGGGTTGGGTTGAAGGGAAGGTAATGCGCTTCAGGGACTGTGAGACAAGTTTCCCTCCCTGGACTATGATATTTTTTCGTTGTTGGAGTGACAATTATTTCGGAGGATATCTTTGATATTTTTTCTTTGCAAATTTCGCTTTTTACATTTAAAATTTCGTTAACATTTCTGTTCACGCTTTAATCAGGACTGACAATCAAGTCTGTGTCACTGTCCCTGAACCAAAGTTGCCTTCCACCCAGAGCTCACTGTATTATCTGCAGTCCACACTGAATGTAACGGAGTTTGAAGTGATCCACGGTTTAGAGATTTCAAATGTTAAAGATTGTCGTTAACAAATACTCAATAACATAGGCAAATCTAAAAACACATAAATTTCTACATTTCAAATTTGGGATGTAGAAAAGAAAACAGAATTTCAGTTTCAGTACCGTTATATGACAAACCAAAAAACCGTGTATACAGAGATAGTAGCCATGTGTAATTGTACACTAGGATACTTTCTGGAAAGAAAATGCGTTTAATGTTTAAAGTGAGTGACATGCATTTGTGCTTCTCTGATCAGTCTCCTCAGTTTGAGAGAAAGTGAAAAATGATGCAAGTCTTTGATGTTCATCTGGTTACACCAAGGACCCTAACTGGTTGTATATTTGGTTCGACAAACATCGAATCCTGGCGGGGTTAAGAGACGCAACTCTGCAAAAGAACTGGGCCACCTGAGATATCCAGACCACCCGTTTCCCACCTTTCATGGAATGATGTCACATTTTTAGTAGAGCGGCATCAACTAGGATTTGTACTATGTTTTAAACACATGTCTCACAAATGCAGCTCTTCTACTGATCATTTCGGGATATATAGCCACTTTCCAGGACAAATAACGAAGTATATACACCGTCGCACAAGGAGACAGTCTAAGTAAACTTAGGCTCAGTATTATTCGTTACACCGCTACTGAGACTCAGGATAGCAGTGTAACGAATAATACTGAGCCTAAGTTTACTTAGACTGCATAAGGAGACAAAATGTCGGAGCCGGATACAAACTCAGATCCCGCGAAGATTCACTTCAGACAGCCAATATCCTGTCAGTACTGTTTTGATACTAGCTGTCCTGTTTAAGTACAGATGTTTGGGATTCCTCGTACCATAGTGTCAGTAGCAGGGGCGGATACAGCTTTTTGAGAAAGGGGGGGGGTGCACACTATTGAGAAAAGGAGGGGTGCACACTTCATTTTTACCCGAGTTTCAATGGTCATTTAACAAACTTTCAGCACAAAAGGGGGGGTGCGCCACCCCCCACCCCCCCCGATCCGCCTATGATGAGTAGTACGGTTGAAATAAGACCTCATAATTTCAATGTCCTTGTGGTGATGTGTATACGAGTGATAACGTTTAATAACAAACAAAACAAATATTACGCAAATATACTGTGGACAAACATCACAGATGAACATGCATGCAGGCTCAATACACACTAGGATTAATAAAATAAACATTGGGAGTCAATAACACAATGTTATCAATCTCAGATCAGGGATACTTCCTATAGATTACAACGGATCAATACCGAGGTCCTGGTGAAATGTCGTTCTCATCAATGTCGTTCGATCCCCGACCGCGTCATACCAAAAGACGTTAAAATATGGTACTTGTTGGTCCCTGCCTGGCGCTCGGCATTAATGGGTACAACAAGGACTGGTCGGCTCGGAGTCAGTATAATGTGTCTGAGTGGGGTATTCATGCTTCACTGCGGCATGGTATCTCAGTGGGCTAGCACTATAAACCAACTTTAGTCTGGGCTAGTACAAGCAGCCGCACATACACATACACACGCATGCACGTCGTCACATGAGCGAAATATTCTCAAGCACGACGTTAAACCCAATTTCACCTCACCTCACCTCACCTCACCTCTTTGGTGGTGTGTGGTCTTGTGCATATAGAGCCAAAGACACAAATCAGTTCAAGTTATGCAACGTTGGGCGCGGAGAGTCTATGGATGGGTGACCGGAGCTTGACTCCTATCAGTTTCTAGGACTTCTGTCCTGCCCCACAACGAAGCACATGTGACACATGGCAAGTGAATTTGTTCAAAACTGCCTCTGTTCACCAAGCAGAAAATGGGTACCCGGTGGGATGAGTCATATGACTACTAACCTTCTAGCGCCTCACTGACTGCTTGGGTTATCCGGGGTTATAAGAGGTTATTACATGACAGTTTTCCTTTCGCCAGTCATATCAGCTCGAGACTACCATATCAGCCCGAGGGCTGATATGGTATTCGAGTGCTGATATGACTGGCGAAAGGGAAACTGTATACATACCATTTTTATCATATATACCACATCAAGGGACGTTACTCTAAAACATACTAGGCTCCTGAAGTTTCGAGCGTTTGCGTGTATTTATTCCGTACCGGGCAATGCGGCTGCTATGGGTTTTCGACCCAAGGCTGATACGCAAAGAACAGTCGAATGTTGCTTAACGTCTTCTGAACAAAATATTTCAATTCTTCACCCTTCTTTGTACTTACGATAAACACAGACTGGCGTTACTACTGTGGCCTCCTTCAAGCGTAATGGTTTTAGGGGTCAAGGTCACCGTCACATTACTTCCTGAAATAATAACATGTATCATTATTCTGGAGATTTCATTTCATTGTTAGCATACTGTTAATTGTTACAGGCTTACAGTGAATCTCCTACTATTTTGAAAATGGGTTGACGCGGCGTCCAGGCTCATTGAAGTCAGTTCATTCCGATTTGACACCTCACGTCTTCTTGCATCGGGGGCTGTAGGGTAGCCTAGTGGTTTAAGTGTTTGCTCGTAACGCCGAATACCCGGGTTTGATTCCCAACATGGGAACGATGTGTGAAGGATATTTCTGGTGTTGCCAGTCGTGATATTGCTGGAATATTGCTACTTTAATTAGATGACACAGAGTGAAAACTACGAACCAGATCAAGGACATAATATGATAACGGCGTATGATAACTGGAGATTACCGAACAACCAGAACGCCAAGGGAATGCATTTAGCGAGGGAGAATTACCCTCATATATATGACGTTTAAATGTTAGTTCCTTAATGTCTCCTTGTCAAATGAATGAATGAATGTGTAAATGAAAGAAGGAAAGAACAAATGAACGAAGGAGTGTGAAAGTCAACATCAACATTTATGTGTGAGTGAGTGAGTTTAGTTTTATACCGCTTTTAGCTATAGTCCAGGAATATCACGGCGGGGAGACTACAGAAATGACGAACGAACGAGCGAACGAATTGTTTCAACAATGAAAGGTCACAGGTCTACAGTCCAATGACTTATGAAGTTGCTATTTGGACTCGAAGCAGAATGGGTACAATGTGTGAAGCCCATTTCTGGTGTCCCCCGCCGTGATGTTGCTGGAATATTGCTAAAAGCGGCTTAAAAACATACTCACTCACTCACTCGAAGCAGAATAGTGTGGTTTTGGAACTGTCGTTTGTAACCGTGGGGGACATATGCCATTAAGGGAGTTAATTTATCTGTAGAGGTACTTACATAAACGTACCGACTTTATGTATTTACTCATGAACAGTAACATTTATCATAAAATAGGAGGGAATGGCTTTCACCCCCCATTAGTTACACTGACAAATTCTCACTTCTGTTTATGCGTCGAAACTATGCTAAACCTGTCCTATGTTTTGTCTCGTTAGTAAAAGTGTGAGTGTGTTTCATGAAAGCTAAATCACGGCGTTGGACATCAGAAGTGGGCTGCAAGTATATCATTTCCATGGCGAGAATCGAACCTGAGACTTTGGTGTGACGTACGAACGCTTTAGCCACTAGGCTACACCACCGACACCTTATGGATTAACATGCAACGTTTAATGTAGTATAAATCGAAACAAATGTGAAATGTATCCTGCTTCATAAGTAGCCATCACAATCACACTCTATCTTTGATCATGCAAGGTATTAAGGTAAAAGTAATATGATAACGCTATTTATAATATATAGGTCAAAGGACATAGACGTCACATATATACTTTAGAAAAGTTCAGTACTACTTACCGTAAACCGCAGTGATCAACCCAATCAACAAATAGAAAAATAACTTGTAAATAAACATGCTTTTCATGAAACATCGACGACGTTCATTCTAGATAACGTCGTTATGTGAAAAATGTCAGTCATCACTGTAGCACATGACTGCAATCAATCGGAGCGTCAATACAGTCACGGAAACTATGTACCGCAGAGGTCAGATAGGTTGGGACAAACTGGCGTTTAAGGCATAAACTCGTGTAATATCTTTGGTATTCATTTCATTTGTGTCTACGTTCGTTTATGTATCAAGCGTCGGGAAGTAAAGAATATGTTTGCTTTGTTGTTCAACGCCGCACTCAGCAACATTCCAGCTACATGGCATCGCAAAAATCAAGCCAGTCAATCCAGTGATTGAAATCATAAGTGGGGCGGTCGGGTAGCCTAATGGTAAAAGTGTCCGGCCGTCACGCTGAAGACCCGGGTTCGATTCCCCACATGGATACAATGTGTAAAACCTTTTTCTGGTGTCCCCCGAGGTTAACGACCTGTCAATATAGAACGAGGTATACAAACACATATTCCAGCCCAGATGTCTTCACATACATTGGTTCTGCAATATATTTACATTGTCGCAAAGTGCACCAAAAGATTCTTTTCGATGTAGAGCCACTTTAAGCAGTTATATAATGATGTGTCAGGTTTAGGTGTGAGGGAGGCCACCCCATAGTGATGCAGGTCTTAGAGTTTGGCGAAACGACAGCGTTAACGACATAATTTTTCAACACGGAAGTACCTTGAGAAACTCCGGTTATGCTTTGGTGCAATGATATGAAACCATACCATACATCGATAAACACACGTGGAATTTACTGACATGGTTAGCCAGTAGATATTGACTGGCGTGTGAAGCTGATGACCCAGCAAAGCCATTACCATTACTGCTACTGTGATGGAGTATGTGCTTACACTCGGAGTATTTAAGTTGATCAAAGTTATCACTCTCATATTGCTTACATCCGCAGTTATCACGTGTATTCAATCTCCATTCTGTTCATAGACTGGGGATATTATACCACGATTGGAGGATGAGCACTGTCATGTAACCTGCAGCAGCTGTGCCTAATATTGCTGACATGTGACCATATCAGCTGTAGTGTATTGGTGACATGTGACTTGCACCAGCTGTAGTGTATTGGTGTCATGTGACCATATCAGCTGTAGTGTATTGCTATCATGTGACCATATCAGCTGTACTGTGCATTGGTGACATGTGACCATATCAGCTGTAACTGTGTATTGGTGTCATGTGACCATATCAGCTGTACTGTGTATTGCTATCATGTGACCATATCAGCTGTAGTGTATTGGTGTGATGTGACCATATCAGCTGTACTGTGTATTGCTATCATGTGACCATATCATCAGCTGCTGTAGTGTATTGGTGTCATGTGACCACATCAGCTGTACTGTGTATTATCATGTGACCATATCCGCAGTAATGTGTATTGGTGTCAAGTGACCATATCAGCTGTAGTGTATTGGTGTCATGTGACCACATCAGCTGTACTGTGTATTGTTATCATGTGACCATATCAGCTGTACTGTGTATTGGTGTCATGTGACCATATCAGCTGTACTGTGTATTGCTATCATGTGACCATATCAGCTGTAGTGTATTGGTGTCATGTGACCACATCAGCTGTACTGTGTATTGTTATCATGTGACCATATCAGCTGTACTGTGTATTGGTGTCATGTGACCATATCAGCTGTACTGTGTATTGCTATCATGTGACCATATCCGCTGTAATGTGTATTGGTGTCAAGTGACCACATCAGCCTCAATGTATACTAAAGCATGCAATTTATTGGATAAAAACTTCTTGCTTTGAGTGACATTTAGTTGTGGATTCTCATACTATTAGCTTGATAACAGTGTAAGAGTCCACACTGAAAAGTCGCTCTATGCAATAAACAATAAGTTGTTATCCATAAAGTAGTATACTTTATTATTGACTCTTTCAGAATGAAAATCAAACAATCTATTGTACACTGGAGTCATGTGCTATATACTGAAGTCATGTGACCTGCACCAGGTGTACTGTATACTGGTGTCATGTGATCTGTCATGTGACATGCACCAGCTGCACCGTATATTGGCATCACATGACCTGCGCCAGCTGTACTGTATATTGGCATGACTCCAATGCCCAACATCAAAAACAGAGGAAATATTACATGTTGTGATAATATTTATTTCATGTTTAACACATAAACACCTCATTACAATGAGACTATGTGTAATTATATTCTGCCCACTGTGTCACATATCAATCATTAACTGACATTCCTGTCAAGCGTTTCCAATGAGCAATACAAGCTTTTCATACCTTCTATGTACAATATGATCACTACCTGAATGATGTTGAATGGACACAAATCCACTCTAATTTATTGTAAGTGAGGAATTAATAAAAACCCAGGTATTTGGGCACATTTGAACAACTTTATCAATCTTTAATTAGAGATGGTTCTTATTAAAGGCCTATGGAATCACAGAAATCCTCAGAAATTCAACAATGGTTACAATATTCATTCAAGAAAGGCATCTGCAATTAAATATATACACACATACATTATTGTTGAAGCTTGAGCACCTGGAGTTCTGTTAACTGGGATGGGGTTAGCTTTGGTGTTGGGAGGGGTGGGGTGGTTAGGGTGGGTGGTGTGTTGGGAGGGGAGGGGGGTGGTGGTGTTGGGAAGGGTGGGTGGTGGTGGGAGTGGGTGGGAGGTGGGGTGGTATAAGGATTAGGATGTTGATAAACTTATCTCCATGTATATTGGTGTCATCTGAAGATCTTCCAGACCAATTGTTGGAATAGTCTTTGAAGATGACCCCAACTGAGACTGAACATGTATTTTGTATGTATATTACAAATGTCTATGGAGAAAACAGCAATGTAAGAGAAGCTTAGTAACTATTACCCAAAATTAATTTTTTACATTCATTGATACTTGAACAAAATTGATTATCACAAAACTGACAACACACTAACCTGTTTGTGAATGTTGTGCTCAGGATGCTTATTATGTTGATTCCATATTCTAAATCAAAATGTTGCGTAATATTTGTACAACAAAAGCCTATTATCACAGAGGCAGATAACAAGGACAATGAACAAATAATGATATCCAGCGGGATATAGATACTTATTCACCCCCATTGATATACATACATCCACAATTTGTTAAAATTATATATGACATTATAATAACCATCCCCATTAATGCCTTTATGAAAGAAATGTTTTGAATCATTAAAACGTGAAGCTCCATCATATCATGAAATATTGACTATAAAATCAAATCAATAAATATTCACAAGATGATCTACAAGAACCATATTTACAAATTCATTTTGACACTTAAAACATGTGCATGTAGAGGCACATTATCATGAGTATATTAAACATTCCTTAAATAACAATTGTGCACTTTAAGGGAACATTGGGTAAATAAAATATTTGTTGACAAAAACACATAAAACAATGGCTATAACATTCACAGTATTTTAGTTTAGGCGAGGGTATAAAAAGTGAAAATTACATCTGAAGAAAAAATTTCACATGCTTTTCATGTACTGTCATCCTAGTGCAAAACCTTTGAATTAGAACAGAAAATGTAGGCATACAGCATGTTTGGGATGGTTGGCCACTGGGAACCGGTGAAAGAACATCCGATACAGATTGATGAGAATGCTGCCAACATTACCATGACTTGTAGATAAAACCAAATTTCCATTTACAGTAATTGATGAAATAAACAGTTGTAACTAACATGAGTATGGCAATATGGCACCAAGGACATGCCCACAGGCAGCTTTATGGCAATATGGAACCAAGGACATGCCTACAGGCACAACACACTATATGGTTAAAGAATCTGATTGAAACCAGTCAGCAGATACTAGACCGAGGGTCTCAACAACCAATTGTGAATCTATAGACAACTTAAACTTTAGCTAAAGAGTAAAGTGTAATAAATGAGTTTCAACTGAAATTCACAGCCACACAGAATGTGTGCCTTGAATCTTTAGGATTAGCTTTCACCACTTGAGTATTTGTCTAACCATTCTCTTCTTAACACAGGTCAGATATAGATATAATTTCTTTTGCATATCAAGTAAGGCAATATTTGTTGAAGGGATTAAAATGTGTTTCTGAATGCAACATAAGAAGCACATCATTCTATCCGCTGGTGATAAGTAATCTATTAAAGAATGGCAGTTACTTTGGTAACACAGAAAAGAAGAACTAAACCATAACAGAAAATGAATATTGGTATAATATATCATGAACTATATATCGATATTTTGCTTTTGTGTTTAGATAGGCCATAAATCATGGCTTACCTTTGTAACATTGCACTCCTACTGGGCAGTATGCTTGTCCAGCCCTGAACAAGGCTGAAGAATGGCAGGTGTTGGTAATCTCATCCATCCACCTCATCACTGTTATGATAAATGATTTGTACCTGGCATAATATTATTATCCATGTACACAGACAATTTGATAAATCACTCACTTATGCCATCAAGGGGCAATGGCTGCCTTACACACTGGCAATGACTGCCTTACACACTGACAATGACTGCCTCATGCAGTGGCAATGGTTGCCTTACACACTGACAATGACTGCCTCATGCAGGGGTAATGACTGCCTCATACAGGGGCAATGGTTGCCTTACACACTGACAATGACTGCCTCATGCAGTGGCGATGACTGCCTCATGCAGTGGCAATGACTGCCTCATGCAGTGGCAATGACTGCCTCATACAGGGGCAATGGTTGCCTTACACACTGACAATGACTGCCTCATGCAGTGGCAATGGTTGCCTTACTGACAAGACTGTCTCATGCAGGGGTAATGACTGCCTCATACAGTGGCAATGGTTGCCTTACACACTGACAATGACTGCCTTATACACTGACAAGACTGTCTCATGCAGTGGCAATGACTGCCTCATACAGTGGCAATGGTTGCCTTACACACTGACAATGACTGCCTCATGCAGTGGCAATGGTTGCCTTACTGACAAGACTGTCTCATGCAGGGGTAATGACTGCCTCATACAGTGGCAATGGTTGCCTTACACACTGACAATGACTGCCTTATACACTGACAAGACTGTCTCATGCAGTGGCAATGACTGCCTCATACAGTGGCAATGGTTGCCTTACACACTGACAATGACTGCCTCATGCAGTGGCAATGGTTGCCTTACTGACAAGACTGTCTCATGCAGTGGCAATGACAGCCTCATACAGTGGCAATGGTTGCCTTACACACTGACAATGACTGCCTTATACACTGACAAGACCGTCTCGTGCAGTGGCAATGACTGCCTCATACAGTGGCAATGGTTGCCTTACACACTGACAATGACTGCCTCATGCAGTGGCAATGGTGGCAATGGTTGCCTTACTGACAAGACTGTCTCATGCAGTGGCAATGACTGCCTTACACACTGACAATGACTGCCTTATACACTGACAAGACTGTCTCGTGCAGTGGCAATGACTGCCTCATACAGTGGCAATGGTTGCCTTACACACTGACAATGACTGCCTCATGCAGTGGCAATGGTTGCCTTACACACTGACAATGACTGCCTCATGCAGTGGCAATGGTTGCCTTACACACTGACAAGACTGCCTTACACACTGGTAATGACTGCCTCATGCAGTGGCAATGACTGCCTCATACAGTGGCAATGGTTGCCTTACACACTGACAAGACTGCCTTACACACTGGCAATGATGCCTTACACACTGGCAATGACTGCCTAATGCAGTGGCAATGACTGCCTCATACAGGGGTAATGGTTGCCATATACACTGGAAATGGCTGCCTTAGACAGGGATAATGGTTGCCTTATACACTGGAAATGGCTGCCTTAGACAGGGGCAGTGGTTGCCATATACACTGGAAATGGCTGCCTTATACAGGGGTATTGGTTGCCATATACACTGGAAATGGCTGCCTTAGACAGGGGCAGTGGTTGCCATATACACTTGAAATGGCTGCCTTATACAGGGGCAGTGGTTGCCATATACACTGGAAATGGCTGCCTTATACAGGGGCAGTGGTTGCCATATACACTGCAATGACTGCTTTACATACTGGCAATGACTGCCCTATGCAATAGCAATGACTGCCTCATACACTGACAAAGACTGCTTTACATACTGACAAAGACTGCTTTACATACTGGCAATGACTGCTTTACACAATAGAAATAACTGCTTTATGCAGTGGCAATGACTACCTTACAAAATCACAATGACTGCCTCATATTAACTAAATTTAGGGTCATTAACATTGCTGTCCTTCTCATTAATAGCCTCGTATGGGTTCTGTCCTCGGTACAGGCAGTAGTGCTGGACCATGAAGAGGATATCAAACAGGATGGAGAAGAATCCAAGGCCAAATTTGGTAGGGTCACCAAATATTGAGCCCCAGTCATCTGAAAGAATGAAGTCATCAGGTCCAGATCATAATGGTCAGTTAAGTGAGTTTTTAGTTATGGATCAGTGCCAGGTATCCAAATATTTACAGCATTTAAAATGGTAGAATGATTATCCTGTCAATGAAAGATGTTTTTATGGTACATGCACTAAATCTTGAAAAGAATTTAGGTGTACTGTGAATATATTAGATAATTTGGAGCAGTCCTCTAATCACCATTTCTAGAATTCCCCCAAAGTATCACCCCAGTTCCATATGATTCCCTTCAGGCTGGTGAAATGAATGTCTATTATGTCTGGTACTGCTGTCTCGGCTCACTGTAATACTACCATCTCCACCTGTGCCCTGGACTTACCATTGTTATAGGCTATCAGGAACATCTGCAGCAGACTGAGGGAGCCTCCAGTAAAATCCAGGAGGACATTTCCAATGCTCCACCCCAGAGTCGACTTCCTTCTGAAGTTCATCCAAGCCTACACAACAGAAAGGCGGCATTAGATATTTTCAAATATTTTCCAAATTAAGCCCTAGTTTGTTCTTGATAACCATGACAGTATTACTGATGCCTCATAATGTTTGTTATCAACATTTTCACTTGAAAGCCTTCGCAGAATTTTCGCCTCAAAATAGCTGCAAAATTGCTGATGCAGCGTTAAACAATATTCACTCAATCACAGAAGTTACCCTAATTAAAATATTAGAAGTTACAAAAACATGAAGTGGACTTAAAAGATATTGAATAACCAGAGACATAAGTATAAACAACAATACAATGGCACACAATCAGCCAATGAATAAACTGTACACATACAATCACATCAACAATTGCCTATAATCTACATATTAAGGGGAGTTTCAGGCAGTATCTCCAATTACCTGAGGTACATATTTAATGAGGGTGACTCCCAGCTTGATGTAGGAGAAGTAGTACAGGTATTCCAGCCAGGTGATCTTTTTGCCGACCGCCACGAACAGAGCTATAAATGCGAACAGCCAGATGCCAACCAACAGCACAGTGCACACTCTCGAGACCTTCTGACCTCCTCTCTGAAACATCATCATACAGGTCAGCGTTTCCATTCACCACTGACAACTCATGCAAGTGTTCTTGGTTGTTTTAGAGTAAACATTTCCAATTGTGTTAGGTACAAGGTAAAGTGAAATGGGGTTTAACATCGTACTTAAGAATATTTCGCTCATATGACGACGTGCATGCGTATGTATGTGTGGCTGCTTTTACTTGCCCAGACTTAAGCTGGTTTTATAGTGCTAGCTCACTGAGATACAATGCCGCAGTCTAGCATGAATACCTCACTCAGGCACATTATACTGACTCCGAGCCGAAGAGTCCTTGTTGTACCCATTGATGCCAAGAGCCAGGCAGGGACCAAGAAGTACCATATTATAACGTCTTTTGGTATGACGGAAATTTGGGTCTCATTCCACAAAGTGATTGCACTATTACTGCTGTAAGTCTATGTTAAAGTAACTTATGGCCTTAGCATCACGGTCACTTTGTGAAAATGGCTCTGATCAAATAAATGTATGAGTTATGTCCCCTTGTCATAACTGGAACTGTTTGACTCTCCTTACCTCATATATAAAACACTGTCCTATTGTCACCACTGTGACAAATACTGCATGTAGTGTAAATATGACATCATTCAGCTGTACAGGGTTGACTCCTCGAGCATGTTGATGGAAATACTGTTGCTGAGAACAAAACAACAAAGATTCCTTCAATTTCATTATTTGAAGTAAACCAGTACATAGGTATGCAATATAAAACCTAACATAAAATCTTAAGATGTCTTTTCTACTTTGTGAATGAAATTCTTCAGATTCCTCAGGGCTCCAGATAATGTTTCAAATCAGGAGTATGTACTCCTTATGTTTTCAATATAGGAGTACTGGAAAAACTTAAGTGTATGTTTAGAGTACTGAATGGAATTTATTGACACATTGCTATTCTTGTGTAAACAGGTCAATAAACAATAAAACAATACTTTTTCAGATAAATACGTCTGTAAATGATTCTAAGAACGTACACCATTGTTGTGGTGCATATCTGCAACGTTTTCTAAATTATTTCCTGCCGTATCGTGCATATTTTTTATCCATACATACGTCGATACGGCTCTTATCTGGAGCCCTGTTCCTTATCAACAAAATTTTACTTGTTAAGCATGTTAAATTTTTGTTGATGGGGGTGGTCAAACTGGTCTTAAGATTTTTTTTCTGTGTCTGCTTGTACCACCAATACCTGTACTAATGCCACTTTATGATACTAGCCCATACAGATACCAAATACATCCATACCCACTCACACACAGTAGACATGCTACACACACTCCCCAGCCCTGTAATGTGACCTCGCTATCAATGTGTCGCAATGGTGACATGTGTAGTATTGTGATCTTCGTATCATGATATGCAATGTGATGTGACCTCACCATTGTTATATCCATCATAATGTGAGCTCACCAATTTTATATCCATCATAATGTGACATCACCAATGTTATATCCATCATAATACCTCACCACCAGATATCCATCATTACAAGACCTCACCATTGTTATATGTATCATAATGTGACCTCACCAATGTTATATCCATGTGTGTGACCTCATCAATGTTATATCCATCCAATGTTATATCCATCATATGACCATCACCAATGTTATATCCATCATAATGTGACCTCACTGATGTTATATCCATCAGGGGTGGAATGAGCCCAGCCAAATGGTTAAAGCGTTGCTATTACAAGACCTCAACATTGTTATAAGACCGAGGTTTGAATCCCCACATGGGTACAATGTGTGAAGCCCATTTCTGGTGTTATATCCATGATGTTGCTGGAATATTGCATTATAATGTGAAACCAAACTATATCATCAGTATATCCATCATAATATCCATCATAATGTGACATCACCAATGTTATATCCATCATAATGTGACCTCACCCATGTTATATCCATCATAATGTGATCTCAACACCATATATTCGCTATATTGTGAGCTCACCATTGTTATAAATTTTTATGCAGCCTCATCTAAGAATGTAGAGTTTTGATTGGTTCACGTGACTCTGATAAAATACCATGTACACCCGTCACGATCTGCGAGCAGGGAGTACAAAAGTCACATTATCCCGCCACGCCTCGGTGACCACGTGAAGTGAGAAAAGCGTGCATCGCCAAGTCTTTAGTAACGTGCGCTGCATTGAGGTCAATCGATCAGCTGGTGTCAACATGGCAGCAAGGAAACGTTTTGCCACAACAACTGAGAATGAAATTGATGCATATTGTTTTCTTTTGATTTAGTAAAAACATTCGGCTAGATAAATGCATTATCACATCGTGTCTCGGGAAATACAGAGTTTTATCAGTCCCTCGTAGGAATACAACCTTACGAAGGACTGATAAAACCCTGTATTTCCCTCGACACGATGTGATAACTTATAATATCCATCAGATTATAACCTCATTATCATGACATGCATTATAACATGACTTTATGTCTTGTCCCTGCAATACAACCTTACGAGGGACTGATAAAACCCTGTATTTCCCTCGACACGATGTGATAACTTATTATATCCATCAGATTATAACCTCATTATCATGACAAGCATTATAACATGACTTTATGTCTTGTCCCTGCAATATTGTAGAGTGTTATTGACTATAGAAACAGCAACAAGCTTCACACAAGAGGCAGGTGTGCTTCCCATTGTTCATGTTGACTCACCTGCACAAGAGGAATCCAGAACATGCCTACATTGAAGAAGCCATATGCCAAGAAACCAGTGATATTGTAGGACAGAAAATCGAAGTTTAGGCCAACCACACTGCAACAAAAAACAAATAGGTTATTAAAATTACTACTTTAAACGATATCATATGATATACTGAGGGAAACAAATAAGGGAACACCACCTCGTGGCAGTGATCCTTTATTCTCATATTTCCTCCCACAGCTATTCAAAGCTGGTGATGAAAAGTGGAAAATATTAAAGGAACACTTGAATTTTCCCGTGATCCTTTATTTGTTTTCTTCATATATCTGTGCATAAAGATTTGACACAATTTCAACAGGTGTTCACATCAGGTGAACTTTAGGGTCAGTCAGAAACACCAAAGCTTTTGAAATCTTGGTACGAGCTTGTAAAGTGATCAGATTTCAGTATCTTGTAAATGAATATGAATGACACTTTACAAATGGAAATGATAAAGGCCACACTGTGATTTTCATCAAGTTCTTGTGGATACTGTACACAAGGGAGCAACCAGAAAAGATTATTTGAGTTCTTTGTGAGGTTCTTTTTTGATAAATATGAATGTTCATATTGAGTTGGGTCAGGAAATGAACTTCACTTCCTTGATATGGAGTGAGTGAGTGAGTGAGTATGGTTTCATGCTGCTCAAAGAGATATTCCAGCAATATCATGGCAGGGGACATAAGAAATGGGCTTCACACACTGTAACCATGTGGGCAATCGAACCTGGATTTTCAGTTTGACAAACCAACGCATTAACCACTACTCCCACCTTGATATAAAGGGGGTGGCCAAAGTTTGCTCAGAGTTCGCCAGTTCAACAGTTTATGGACATTTTGTCAGTTGTTCATGCTGAGAAGTATAACATCAAATAAAAGATCTGATACTAATGAAATTGTGGAATTTGTGACACATAATTTCATTGTATTTACAGAAAGCAAAATAAATATTATAATCTTGCTTCAGATATTGTTACTGATTACACAAACCAATGGCCATATGGGTCAAAACTTCTGACTTCAGTCCAACATAATATGTTCATTGTTTTGAATAGGTATATTTCATATTCAGAGGTTTAAGAGTCTACAGGTTTTGGAGTCCACAAATGAACCAATCAGGACTTTTTTTAAATCAACTATTTGATCAAACTCTAAAACATAGCATTGTGCAAAATAATACACAGCATATTTCTGAAACCTTTTCATTCTATACATTAATACAGTCCAATTCAAAATAACATTTTTTTCGATTTTTTGTGTGCAATGCTATAAATTTGTTGTAACTTGTTCCAGATGTGAATTAACTGAAATGTTGAACTTTGAATGTCATGTTACATATACATGAGCCCCCATCTGAAATGCAAAACATCTTCCAAGGGAGATAACTCACCTCTTCCTCTTATAATTAGAGTAGACTTGTGGGTAAAAAGACACCGACCAAGCTACAAAATACATCCAACCAATCACAGCATTGATAACAGATAGGGCTGAACTATGGATGATGTCAACTCGCACAAACTGATCATCGAGGCTGTGAACAGAACATCAAGACAATTTGTAAAAATTTGGATTAAATCAAAATGAAAATAATGATGGTTCTGAAACCGAGAAACCATTCTATATATCTAAGGAAGCTAATTTGAAATACTGAGTATCCTTGATCCAATCATGCCAATAAGTGTCCCATGACCAACTTCAAAACCAAGCGATAAGTAATCCGTACGAATGCCCAAAGTACACGTATTAAGCACAACAATTTACAAGACAATCCACGTTTGAGTTTTAACAGAAAACATGGCAGTAGAGGATGGGTTTAAATTTGCCTAGCAACTATTATAAAAACATCTGAGATTCATCAAGATTGCTGATATCCAGTTTAATCAACAAACCCCCTTCCCTGTGCTAATGTTCTTAGCACCTTGGCCACATATTATGGCAAATATGGATATGTCTGAAGGAAATATTACCAGTGTGCAATAAAGTGTTGTATTAGCTGTGCACCTGTTTGACCACAATAAATTTATATTTAGGTTATCCTCTAAATATTTCTAAAATCGAGAGGCACAAGTTTTTAGAATATTTTTAAACAACCTATTCAACAAATTCAAGGCATGCTTATCAAATGTCAATGAATGTCATTCACATACAGACCCAGAAAGTATACACACAATAATTTCATCATTTGAGCAAATAAAGGTCACACTTAGAAGCATTCCGGCAATATAAGGATGGTCCCTAAATAAATAAAACAAGAACAGAAAAGCCAGTATGTGACTCTGGGAGTCAGGTGGGGATGAAAATGTAATAATATTGTTTATCAGTCAAGTAAACTTTACACTGCTATACTGATTCTAACAAACCCTAGTAGAAGGTCGCATCAGCTAACCTTTGAGCGACCTATGACCATCCAATCAAATGCAAGACGGATTTAACCAATCAGCGGCCCTCTACTAGGGTTTGTTGGACTCAGTATAGCAGTGTAATGAATAATACTTAGCCTATGTTTACTTAGACTGATTGTTTATCAACTAGCAATGTAACCATGGTAACCTACTCCTCCAGTCCTCAGCCGATGAGTTGACCCCCAGGTTCAGGTGACCAGGACTGACACCTGTAACATTGACAGTCACCTTGGTGACCTCAGTGGTCACAGTCACATTTGGAATTAGCTGAATCAGCAGTGAGTTCTCGGTATCTTCTATGTCACCATCACCAATCTGGTAGGTGAAATATACCACGGCACTCTTATTCAGTTTGTTGCTGAAACAGTCAAATCATATATTTAACTTAATCATATAATACATATTAACAGCACTAAACATGCTTTATGATATATAGACTGAACCTTCTAGACTGACTGAGTTTGGTTTTACGCCGCTTTTAGCAATATTCCAGCAACATCACGGTTGGGGACACCAGAAATGGGCTTCACACATTGTACCCATGTGGGGATTCGAACCCGGGTCTTCGGCGTGACGAGCCAACGCTTTAACCATTAGGCTACCCCACCGGCCCGAACCTTCTAGAGGTTATTCGGACATGGGTAGCCCTGATGTCTAAGGTAGTACAGTTAGCTGGACAGAGTTGATTCCCTTGAGCATACCAAAATCCCATGACCAAATACTGTATTGCGCTGATAATGTATCTTGAGTCTTTGTGAAGATCAGGGTTCAAATTGATCTTCAGTAACCCATGCTTGTTGTCAGAGGCGACTAACGGGATCAGGTGGTCAGACTCGCTGAATTGGTTGACACATGTCATCATATCCCAGTTGCGCAGATTGATGCTCATGCTGTTGATCACTGGATTGTCTGGTCCAGCTTCGGTCATTTACAGACCACCACCATATAGGTGGAATATTGCTGAGTGCGGCGTTATACAATAACCGAACCAGAAAAACAAACTTTGACCTACATCACTTTCCCCTCCACCTCAAGCTGTGACAACTAAAATACTGTTTAATATGGCATAAAACCCAACTCACTCAATCTAAAATTGATAAATATACAGTAAAAACATGCTCCCATGGATACTATCCAGATAATCAATCATCTGGAATAGTGAAGCATTGGTAACTATACTTTCCCCTGTATCTATTTTATAACAAGCAGTTTTTCATGATCATAAGTAAAGAAATCAGCCCAGTCAGTCCGCAGTTGGAAATATGTCACATGATCCATCTGTGACGTAATGAACAATGGATGACAATGACATCATCTTTAATTATTTGCAACAACTTGATATGAGAATGCTCTTCACAAACAATTACGCAATGGAAAATTGATGTGAAATATCCAATCAGCATGAAGCAAAATTGATATTAGGATCATTACTGGGAATACTGGCCCTATTGGTAATATTATCAGTTGTGACTGGTGAAAAGCATACTTAGTAAATCATTATCATTACAAACCCAACTGGAGTAAACTAGTAAAACTTTATGACACAACAATGAAATAACCCTTGGTGAGAAATAATGTCCCTTTTGGTAATATTCATCAGATTACGATTGGGGAAATGCAGACTTAAAAGTGAGTGAGTCAGTTTATTTACGCCACACTCAGCAATATTCCAGCTATATGGAAGCAGCCTGTAAATAATCGAGTTTGGACCAGACAATCCAGTGATCAACAGTATGAGCATAGATCTACACACTTGACATATGATGACATGTGTCAACCAAGTCAGCGAGCCTGACAACCTGCTCCTGTTTACTTAAGTCGCCTCTTACGACAAGGTTGGGTTACTGTAGATCAATTCTAACACGGATCTTCATGGGTTGCGGGCTTAGTAAGTCATTGTTACAAAATACAGCATGACAAAGAGATTACTCACTCGAGTTTGAGATCAATATGAGTCGTAGCCTGTGTTTCAACAGACAGGGATGAAGATGAGAATGTCAACTTCGATGCTCCTCCAAAAGCTGAAAAACATAAAGTGAAAAAAAAAGGTTCTTGAGAGGCATTTGGAAATTGGTCTTCAAGTAAAAGGCAAATATTGTGGATGACAACTTCTTCTTTACTGTATGTCACAATGTTTCTGGGCTATTCCTTGCCCCCCTCGTCAGGTGAATTGCCTTTTACTATAAAAGAAAATAGCATCTAACACAGATAAATGGTTTCAAATACTGAATTTTGAGCAATTCAGTGTACCATGTTTCATGCCTGTCACGATATACCTGAAATATTGATGGTGTGAAGTTAAACATTAACTCTGTCACCATGTATCAAGCCTGTGGTTCACAAATGTAAATGTGAGGTCATATAAAAACCTTTGGTCTTAATAAGTTAAATGGTCAAGATCCACACAGCTTTTACGTATACAACTTTCCAATTTACATGAAAGAGGAGGTTCTGATGATTCCACAAGAACTATGACAGACATAAACTTGAAGTATTCTCGTTAAATCTGATTACTCAAGTAATACATATGCTGTTACTACAATATAAACAAATGTGGACAAATTCATGACAATAGACATAAAACAATAAATAAATTAGAATATTTTCATATAGTTTCATTGGTTAACTCAGAAATGCTGTTTCTTATTTTATCACAATTCATCTGCTAAACATGTTAAAGTTAACATAACAGTTATAATACTGTACAATGAAACAATGTGAAACAGCTGTGCCAGAAGTTCCTGAATACACAATTTCAGCTAAAACATAGGAATAATCAGTAAATATAATGAATGCTTCACATTTTTACAGACTTATTTACTCAAATATCTATATTAATTTGATCACTTCAGTGGTTACTCTGTTCATGATTCAGAAAGAAAGTTGTTTCCATGACAACTGAATACCCAGACACTAGAAAATAATGTTTCATATTCACAATAATTATATGAAACTCCTAGGGTTTTAATCTGTTGTTTAATGCCGCACTCAGCGATATTCCAGCTATATGACGGTGGTCTGTAAATAACTGAGTCTGGACCAGACAATCCAGTGATCAACATCATGAGCATCAATCTACACAATTGGGATATGATGACATATGTCAACTAAGTCTGACCACCCAATCCCATTAGTAGCCTCTTGGGTTGCTGAAGACCATTTCTAACTCGGATCTTCACGAGTGAAGTTTCTATGGAATTTTGGCCAGTTATCAGTGGACAAAGGTATTGGCAAAATACCATCTAGGACCCATTTTCACATCTTAACAATTCTGTCACCATGGCAACAAGGACTACATTATCATTACAAATTTGAACATGTTGTAGGATGAGAGGAAGATGTAAGCTTGGTGTATTTCATGGACACTTTCAAGTTTATTCCAGATCAGTAAAGCTGGAAAACAAATATTTTCATTTGTCATTTGCTTGTATTGGTCTTTATTGGCTCCAACAACAGAACAGACTGACCGCCTCTGTGGTGTAGTCGTTAGAGCGTCCGCCCGGAGAGCAGAAGGTCGCGGGTTCGATCCCCGACCGCGTCATACCAAAAGCCGTTAAAATATGGTACTTGATGGTCCCTGCCTGGCGCTCGGCATTAATGGGTACAACAAGGACTGGTTGGCTCGGAGTCAGTATAATGTGTCTGAGTGGGGTATTCATGTTTCACTGCGGCATGTATCTCAGTGGGCTAGCACTATAAAACCGCTTCAGTCTGGGCTAGTACAAGCAGCTGCACATACATATGAACACGCATGCATGCGCGTCGTCATATGAGCGAAATATTCTCGAGCATGACGTTACACCCCATTTCACCTCACAGAACAGAACAGACTGACTGAATATGTTGAGAGGCTGACTATCATGCACTGTAAAGGAATCCAGGTAGTACGCAAAAGAGTAACCATGGTAACCCCAACATGATATTGCTCTGGACTGGCTTCCCTCCTTATTCAACCTCTTTCCACATGTTAGATATGAAAAAACATGTGATCGAGATAAAATACTTCCAGATAACTGAATCTGAATGGAGATGCAAGTTATTGCAAAAAACATGTGATGACTATCATTTATATGACGTCCATATCACTGTTGTAGCACGTGCTACTGACACAGCACAGTTATCATGTACACCCAGTCAGATGTGGGTTAATGAAACATATCACAGCTCCAGCACATTGTTTCCAATTAGTATGAAAACACTGTCATAGCTGTCAAATACTTTGTTAAAATAAGGATATGGTACTGACAAATTAGTGAGTGAGTATGGTTGTATGCCACTTTTAGCAATATTCCAGCAATATCACAGCGGGGACACCAGAAATGTGCTTCACACATTGTACCCATGTAGGGAATCAAACCTGGATCTTCGGCGTGACGAGCAGACGCTTTAACCATTAGGCTACCCTACCAACAAACTAAGAACTGACAACTAGATCAATTTGGGATTCAAACCCACATCCAGCAGACCTATGCAGCACATACTAAGACTCAGTAAGTTGACATCTTCGACCACTCAACCATTCATCTTGCTCATGTTTCTCCATTGAATGACCCTTAACGTCACAGACCACAATAATAATCTTTATGTTTTGCAAATTAGTGATGACATTTGTCAATATCACAAAGTGGCTTGCTCCATTACAATAACTGCCTTTTAGTGCAAGTCATGGCGTCTTAGGTACAGCCCTGCTATCTTAGTCAGTTATCTAATCTACCCTGATCTACCTGCAACATATAATCATCACTCTGTTCTACTCTTGAGACACTGTCACATGCTCTGCTAGGACAGGTTGGGATCGGCAGTAGACATACCAGGTGAAATATATTGTACAAGTTTGTTTGTTTTACAGGGAACTCAACAATACTCCCACAATATGACAGTGGCCTGTAAATATTAAAGTCTGGACCAGGCAATCCAGCGATTGATACTGTGAGCAACAATCCAAGGCATCGAGCCAGACAGTCCAGTGATTGACGTCATGATCACCGATCCACGTAACTGAGACATGGTGACAAGCAATCAGCCAAGTCAATGGGTCTGGCTGGCTGGTTTGTTGTTATACGCCACACTCAGCAATAGTCTAGCTATATGGCAGCGGTTTGTAAATAATCAAGTCTGGACCAGACAATCCAGTGATGAACAGCAGGAACATCGATCTACACAGTTGAGATACAATGACGTGTCAACCAAGTCAGCGAGCCTGACCACCCGATCCCGTCGCCTCTTACGACAAGCATGGGTTACTAAAGACCAATTCTAACCAATACTGGGTCTGGCCTGCTGATCCTTTTAATCACCACATATGACAAGCATCAGGTTGTTATGGGCCAACACTACCAAGAATGTCCATGGGTTACAGATATATATCCATGATATAAGTGAAACTTCTTTCAACCAGAAACATTATCTACAGTTATACAACATTATATTCTATTATTAAGGGGCTGGCCATATGATATTCTTTTGGGTGGCAGCCGTAATAGATAACTTTTAGATAAAAATAAAACTTCTGAAAAAATACCTGTAAGGGGCAAAAAGAAGATTCTTTTGGCTTTGACTTTCAGAGATTTTTGGGTTGTATTTTTTTTAACAATGACTGAAACATACATCACAAACAAAAGTTCTCAGACCCAAAATGGTCCTTATGTCCCTATGGTAACATTACTAACAAGAGAGCCAGAGAGAGTTTGGTTCCATAAAGCAATCACAATAGGGAACACACAAATATTTGGCTTCACAAACTGTATCATATGCAAAGAATAAAACCCTGGCATTTGGTAACAAACAAGCACATTTACTTTGTTTACTGCAGAGTACCTGAACATAGAATAATTAAATTACAACTATACAAGAGCCAGAACCCAAACTATTTATTCCCATAATTAATATATCCATAAGTACATACAAACATAAATGAAAAAGCCAGAGGCTCTATCATCTCCATCATCACTGATGCATACTAGAGTCATGAATGATACTTGATGTGAATATTTACAACCGCTCTTCCAATTCACTTATTTAGTTATACAAGCTATCTCTACGTACTAGTTATCAGTAGTTCCAGATATTAACCTGGATTGGAAATTTTTAAATTCAAGTTTGGAAATTCTACCAACATCTGTCGCTGACTTGATGTTGAATATTGATCTCTAAGCAGGTCTATACATACAAGTGGTGGTCTGATAAATTGAAATAATTGAAGACTAGTTGCAGTGACTAAATGACCAAACAATCCATAATTTTTTCTCACAATCGAACACAAACAATTTTGGAACACTTGTTTGTGTTAGCAATACTGTTCACAAGGTTGGTTTTCTCTGTGTCATTAAATCTATATTTCATAAGCACTACAAGCTTGTTCCAAGTCATGATTGAATTTATCTAAAAGACTCCTGGACATTTATGTTACAAACAGAAGTAATCCTTTAAAGATGTGAAATTCTCAAATGCATTTTGTGTAATTTGAAAAAAACAAAACAAAAGACTTCTGCATTAACAAACATAACTGGAAAAATTGATAAATGACGTTAAGGCCAGACCAATCTTATTTCTTGTTTTACGGATTTTTGTACGGAAAACCTAACGGAAGGAGGGAAAAAATATAAAAATAAAATGACCAGTCAAAGTAATATGCCTTTTAAATACTAAAAGTATTTTACTTTGGGGAATTTATGAAGTGTATATGGGGCAAAAAACAATCAAAAAGAAGTTTTCTTGTAAGTTTACATTTTTGGCCAATAAAAACATTAGGATTTTATTTTTTAAGCTGGGAAAACGGATTTGTATTTTTTTTTGTTATTCTTGAAAAAATACAACCGGCAAATCCATAAAACAAGAAATAAAATTAGTCTGGCCGAACCAATTATTTTCAATGACTGATCAGTTGTAATGAACCAATCACCAATTCCTGACACTACTACATGCCCCTGCTGTCCATGGATAATTATCTTCAATTTATCATTGAACATGTTGAAATCCCTAATCATAATTGGTTTAAGGCTTCTGAGCAGATTCAGTGACATGACATCAGTTCAGCAGAAATGCTCCTTACATTCATGTTTGGCAAAATGAAACCAATTAACATCAAGTCTACATACATACACCATGTACAATAGAGCAGAGACCGTAACATCTTCCTGACAGCAACCAAATCTCATTTGGTTTGCTTGTCACGCCAAAGACCCGGGTTCATTCCCTACTTGGGTACAATATGTGAAGCCCATTTCTGGTGTCCCCCACAGTGATATTGCTGGAATATTACTAAAAGCGGCGTAAAACTAAACTCACTCACTCACTCAATGAATCTCATTCTGCATTGTTCTAGGGTTTGAGTGCTTTTACTAAGGGAATCCCTAAAGGTGAAATTAATACAAAGGTGAGTCTCATAAAGTAAAGAAACAGTGTGGTGTGCTGTGGAGGAGTGTACTGCAAGATTTGATAATTAATCTAAATTGCAGGATCTAATATTTTGGTCAAGAATTAGATACAATGACTATACATGTTATATAATCTTGTGCATCCCTTGTGATGAGGAAGCCTAGCAGTTAAAGTATTCACTTGGCATGTGGAATACCCAGGTTTGATTTCCCACATGGATACAATGTGTGAAGCCCATTTCTGGTTTCTCCAACCATGATATTGCTGGAATATTGCAAAAAGCTGCATAAAACAATACTCTCTCACTCTCATTGGGGTGCAATATGTCTTTTTTCTGATTCCATTCTAAAGATTTGTTTTTACAAGACACACATTTTTTGCTTCATGTAAATGATATAATAGTATACTAAAATACCCTGTTGTTTTACTAACACTATTTATAGATCCAATACTGACACGACATAGTGATTTACTGAAATCAGGAATACTTCAATAAATCATGAAGTAAAATCTAGTGCTGTAAAGTTCACAGGGACTTCCCATGAGGAACATTTAACCAAGAACAGGAAGTATATAATTAGTGCTAATACACTATTGCTAATAGTGTATTATTGAGCCAGTATTTAGCCATATTGATGTACCAGTACTTGAATGTAACCACAAGGCTAGGTAGCACACATGATTATTTTTGTTCAGACCAAGCTTTTTGTATTTGCTTTACAGTTCTATGGACTGTAGTGAAATGAGAATAAATATTTCTGAATTTGCCCCTTTTTTTATCCAATATGTTACAGATGGGTTCACACTTTCTCAGTAACGTACAGATTCTATTACTTTATTGGGTTGAATCCCACTTGGGATTCGAACCCACAGTCTCAGAGTCAGGCACACAAAGTAAGCTCTAACCCACTGAGCCACCGCACACCTTCAGACATTGTACAAATTGTAGTGTGTAACCTCACTATTATTGCAGTGAGTTTGCGTGATACATTTGGATATTTTCGTGATATTATCAACTTCTGACAGGTCAATCACAATGTCCTAGAAATTTAACTGATTGAAAACTTAACCTTTGTTTGAGTATTGATTACACACCTTTACCAACAATACCTTCAAGCCATATCACACCAAAACTCTAGAAAAAGGCTTGATAAATTATACATTTGGACACATGGAACTGTGTCATCAGTCAGTTTTAACTACCGGCTACCCAACTGTCCAACTTTGCATGATGATTTAATACCTCCACCGCAAAACATGCTTTGTCTTACACAAGAGATAGCAACCAAAACTGGCAAGACCTTCTCAAGTACTTCCACAAGGAAGAAAAACTTGCTTTGTCATACAGTTCTGTCGTTCCAAACATTTACCATGTTTACTTTTCCTGAAGAGCTGAAACTGTTGGGTCACTACCCAATATATGAACTTATTGGAAAGTAAATATTTTGTCTTTGTAACAGCCCATACCATTGACTGAGGTCAATATATACAAGCATCTGTTTTTTTTTAACTTAGTGACTAATACCGTATATACATGAAAACCAAGTTCTATGGATAGTCAATTTCTTTATTGCAATCAGATCTGGTGCAATAAAGAAGTTGACTATCCATAGAACTTGGTTTCCTTTACCTATACAACTTCTAAAAATGCCTCTCAAATATGTAATACCATATAGATATTCAGCCCAGTGAAATAAATTATTAGTCTGGAGATAAATTACATTTTCTGTTTATTTAAAAAGCATATCTGAATATTCAGATGCATTGCCTTCTCACATGATCTGGCCTTTATGAATATTTAGAAGTAAGAAGTTAATAAGAACGTGTTGTCTTTAATAGCATAATATGAAAACAAAAGGTGACATATGTATTTGCACTAAACTACATTTTGTCAATGTTGTCAGTTTTATATTAAATATTTTATTTGTACGTTTTACAAGTAACGTTTCACCCTACGATTCGCCGACATGACTACTGTTAATATTCTGAACAAGCTGTAATAAATCTACAGGAAAAGACAAAAACTTCCTAATAATCTAATCCTGCATGGTGTGAAGTTCCGCTGAATACTTACACAAAATACCAAGAAACACTGTCCACACGAAAAGCCTACTGCCCGACATTTTGACTCCGCCTCATTCAGGTTGCCGACGATGTGATACTGTAGGTGTTTTGATTATCTGACTGTAGATATCTGTCATGTGTAGCAGTCGTGCTCATCGCTAGCCTGTCATGTGAAAAAAAAGTCACATGATTTGTATATTTTGATGTCTGTAGGTGGCGCTCTTCATTACAAAGGGTGGATAACTCTGAATCAACTCAAAATGTCTGCTTTACTCAGGTAACGTGCTCCGTATTTTATAATGTAATGTTATGTTACGTTTAAAATCAGTCAGTAACATCTAAATACTTTATAGCCGAGAGGATTGTTTGAAACTGTGAAAGTAATAGATGCAACACAGCTGTAATACGCTGGGGTCACTTTAAACATGTTGTGTACACGAACGAAGCAATCAGTCAATCAATTTGTGCCAATGACAGGTATTTTGATGGAATATTACAACTGATTAAAGACTTCACTCACTTTTAACAAAATGTAACTTTTCTGTGAACATGGTAAAAAATCACTAGTTAACTACTGCTACTGCAGTGTACAACAAAACAGGGTTATCATATGTCACTGAAATAACTTATTGTTTATGAAGCATCAACATGATCAACTCCAGAACATATGTGCATTGATATGATGCACACAATTCATCAATACTTAGCATGCTTATCCCATTTCCTTTCTCAAATTGCACATCATTTTTTTTTTTAACCAGTCCAAATCAAGTTGATTGTGACAAGGACCTTTGATATGGTTCATGACCATGGATGCTTTAAGATTCCTGTTGAAAGAAACCAATTATACAAGTCTTGGACTTGCAGATTAAACATTGTACAGTTTATTTTGAACCCTGCACATCTCACAAGACTTAGAACCCCATACATTATCACTTAAGAGTCCCGTGGAATAGAAAAAAGATGGACCCAGGTAAACCAGTGTTATCACGTGTGTTTGTAATCAAGTAGTCATGATGTAGAAGATGTTTCTGTATGTAGTACATTATATAATTATGTTTATGTATATAGTACATTAAATAATTATTTTTCTGTATGTAGTACTCTTAATAATTATGTTGCATATATATTTTCTAGGTCATCACGAGATGTATTATGCAAGGGCTGTAAGCAGCTGCTTGTATTTGCAAGTCGACCCAATTCTAACAAAGCAGCCATATGCCGGATAAACAGGTTTAATTATGCCAGGACATATCCAACAATGGTTGTGCAGCCTGACGGATCAACAATAACTGTAAGATACACTGAACCCAGGAGAATCATAAAGGTGAGTGAGTGAGTGAGTGAGTTTAGTTTTACGCCGCACTCAGCAATATTCCAGCTATATGGCGGCGGTCTGTAAATAATCGAGTCTGGACCAGACAATCCAGTGATCAACAGCATGAGCATCGATCTGCGCAATTGGGAACCGATGACATGTGTCAACCAAGTCAGCGAAACTGACCACCCGATCCCGTTAGTCGCCTCTTACGACAAGATAGTCGCCTTTTTATGGCAAGCACATGGGTTGCTGAAGACCTATTCTACCCCGGATCTTCACGGGTCATCATAAAGGTATTGAGATATGGTCATTTATCACATGGCAGGGATATATAACATGTTGGTTGGTTGGTTGACGCGCACTCAGCAATATTCCAGCTATATGGTGGCAGTCTGTAAATAATCAAGTCTGGACCAGACAGTCCAGTGATCAACAGCATGAGCATCAACTGCTTAATTCGGAGATGATGACATGTGTCAACCAAGTCAGCAAGCTAGACCCACCAGATTCCTTTAGTTGCCTCTTACGACAAGCATGTGTTACTGAAGAGTAATTCTAACTTGGATGTTCACAGGTCATATATAACATGTTTAAATCCCTGTCAGTTGTTGTGTGCACATTGCTAAATTTAATTGTTGTAAATGGTACCAAATGACTTCCCATATAAGTCACCATGCTTCAGTGACTCTTGGGAAATTCTCTGTATCGGGAATGTTTTCACTGAGAATGAAGGCATCCCATCGACATATTAATCTTGGAAGAAGTCATGATATTTATTTTTTATTTATTTATTATTTTTTTTCAACATAGATTCATTTATTAGAAAATGGGATGTAATATCTCCAGCATTGCCAATGTTATGACTTCATCTTACAAAGATGTAGTACTTCCATTCCATGGTGATTCACGATCTTGCATAGTCTACTAATCCCATCACATACTGTAATTCAGTATGTAAATATGTCTTTCTATGCATGTCGCCTTTAAGGCTCACAAAATGATGATTGTATCCAACTGAACTGAATATAAAATATACAACAAAAAAAAGAAAGAAGTCATTATAGCAGACTCATTTGCATATTTATCACAATGTTTTTCCAAGTTTTTTACTAGTATATCTCATTGATAACACAAGCCTTTATATTGGGTATGAAACTCCCAAAAAATTCAGCCAGACCACAGGTCTGGTTAGATGTCAAACTTGCCAGTCCTGACCAAAACTTACCTGCCCACAAAAAATACTAATTTAGTTAGTATAATTGAATTAAAACTTGTAAAATATTAATGATTTAAATTTTAACCCGACCGTCGGGCAGGTGAATTTGAGAATCAGGCAGTCCGTGTTGAAAATAACCCGTCCCGGGCGGTCTGGCAGGCAGGTATTTCAAATGCTGCTTTATATGATAAATTTATTTTGCAGAATTTTACTTACCCATGTCTAATGTTAACTGTATGAAATTTGTTTCCATAAGGTATCCAAGACAAGGATATACTAGCCAGACTTTTGTATTTGTTATTTCACCAGTTTTCGGATATTTTTTGTGGAACACTTTGTCAGCAGGTGTTGACAAAAGTATATCAGTAAGGACAATTTTTCATCAAGATATCACCTTCATATGTTACCATGTGTGCAGTATCAGTTACATGGTTACATTCTTCTTTTTGGAAAAAACAAATAAATTAACTGAAATTATATTATGTTTTTATATCCAATCAGAAAATTTTACAAACAAAAGCCATAGACCAAGAAATTAGAAAGTTTTGTCGTGAAGTATTGCTGATCATTCTCTCACCAGTGACATGAACTTTGTTTTCAGCTTCCTTTGGATCTAGAAACTTTATCTGAAGCTGACCGACGGAAGAGATTGCAAAGAAGGAAGCCAAAGAAAAAAATAGTGATAGAAGATGAGATAGAGGACGATTTTGATGCTGATAGATACAGCCACTTGTGGAAGAAGAAGTAGAACAGGTGTTCCATGCATTGTCTGTGTTTGTGTGTGGCTATGTACAGCTGAAGAAAACTAGTTTGAGATCAGTGTAGATCTATGCAAGTGACCATGAAGACCACATTTGTACTGTTAGTAATTGTGTAATGTGTACACTTCATGAAATGACAATCTGTAAAATAAATATTTTTAACATTTGACTTTCACTTCTTTGTCATCAGCTGTTTGAGTAACTGAGAAGGAATCATCCAAACAGCTGAATCATCATTAATTTCATGTTGTGTTTTAGATCTCCAGTCTATTATTATATATATGATGGACTCAGTCACCAGTAGTGCTGGTTATCACTCACAATATGCAGATCGACAATTGAAGACCGAGATCTTCATGGGTCACATCAAGTTACTAACACACTAAAATGAGTTCAACATTGATGAAACAAAATGTTTTTATATTGTTATATTATACACATTTTTATTGTATACCCCTTCAATGCTGCTGTTTTCAGTAATCAAATCTTTAATATCCACATGGACATACAGACTGTCATGTAAAGTTTAGGTCTCAGTAAAGGACTTCTATGAAGAAGATTACCTAGAGGATAGTTGAAAAGGTGGGGCTTATTGGAGCGGAGCATTTAATATGGCAGATACGATAGATAATTGTTGCCATTTTAAGAGCTCAATGATATCAGGATCAGGTGTGACATAGCTTTTAGCCAGTCGGGCTACCTATGCCTGAAAGTTACTAGTCTACAAAATCATTCACTAGCCTGATATTTGAATGTAGAAATTAAGCAAAAGATTACAAAATAGATGAGAATAAGATATTGTCGACATGACACAGGTTTCATCATTAAGCTGCTGATATGATGAACATTTTTATCAGGCCATAATCTTACATGATTTTTAGGTGTATTATAACTTATAACTTAACAAGTCGGAGAGAGTGATATATTTACAAAATGACCCTATGAAGATTCACTAGCCAGTCGGGCCAGTGACTGTGGACATCCACTGGCCAAACTGGATTTTTACTAGCCAAGGGCTAGCGGGCTAGTGGCTATTTCGCACACTGACTTCAAATACATGCACTGCTTTATTCTCACTTCAACTATGAAGTACCAAGACGTTTCAGTTCAAATATCTTGACACAACCATAACTGGACATTCGTAAGATATATAATCAAAGGCAAAAGTTAACACACTCATTTGTTTATATAAATGAGAAAGGGTTTATAATGCATATTAATATTCTTCATAATACACTTAATCCATAACCCAAAACGGGGCCCTGTCAGAAAGTTTTGTGGAAAAAAGACATAAAACGTACCCTTTAAAAAGTGTGGCTGTAAACCTCGAATCGTCACACAAATCATTGTTTAGACGTCGACGAGCCCGAAAAGCACAAATTTGGAAGAATCTGCTTGCATTATCTCTATGCAAGGCTAACTGAAAATGAAAGATGGCGAACCATTGGAATGCTTGAACCCGAACACCCCAGCACAATTTTGCACAGGACACCATATGCCGCTAGTCGAGACGTAATTAACACAACGCCGACGTTGCAGACCGTCCCCGAAGTGGCCGTCCACCTGTAACCACGTCAAGCAACTATCGTTGGATTCGAACCACCCATCTGCGCCAAAGAGTCCAACCAGCCACACTGACAGCCCGAACAGTTCCTGGTGTCAAAAGGATATCGCCAAGGACCATTCGCCGGCGTCTGTCTGCACATGTGACAAATTGTGACATCACGTCACCAACGTCAACGAATGCAATTTACCGGCGACGTGGTGAGCATCATGTTAGGAACTGTGTCCTTGAGGCCGGCCGTTTTGGCGGCGGTGTAGTAATAGTTTGGGGTTGGGTAAGGAGTGCTGGACGTACACCTTTGCTTGTCATCAATAAAAATTTTTATTAATAAACACTTGTTCTCGTGACTATATGGCTGGAAAAATGCCGATGTGACGAAAAGCCCAACTCAACCCAACTCAATGTAAATTTAACGGGTCTCAGGTACAGAGACCACATTGTTCATCCAGTCGTCATGCCGTTTCTCCAGCAGAATGGTCCAGCAATGATCTTCCAGCAGGGCAACGCCAGACATCATGTCGCCAGGATGCTTCAGCAGTTCTTGGCGCAGCACAATGTTAACGTCCTTCCCTGGCCCGCTAAATCCCCAGATCTGTCCCATATCGAACACGTCTTGGACGAAATGGAGAGGAGATTGAGACGTTTCCCAAATCCCTCAGTCACGCTTCAGGAACTCCACCAGGTGCTTCCACAGATACGGAATGCCATTCCACAAGACTTCTTGCGACGTTTGATTGGCTGTATGAGGCGCAGGTGTCAGGCATGCATCAATGCTCATGGTGGAGTCCAGGTGGACATACAGGTTATTAACTGTGTGATTTTCATTTTGACCTCATTAACAAGTGTCCACCAGAAAAGTTTAAAATGTGCCATTTGCAATCCTAATGTGGAATTATTTTCTTGCAATATTAAAAAAGTCTCATCATAAAAAAATCAGTTGTTAATTCACATATCTAACTTCAAGTCAATCACAATAACTTTTGTCTTTGAGTATATTTAGCAGGCCACGTGAGTATCATTAATTAGAACACATGTCTAGTTACATGTGTGTTTTCTGACTTAAAAAATAGCATTGAAGTTAGAAAGTGCTCTTTAATCAGATTTAAACTACAGTCTGAAAGTTAGAATATACCCAGAACGAATGAAAAGAAATACAACACAATAGTGCTACACAGAAATTTCATGACGTACAATTGTATCGTTATACATGTATTTGGGATTATTTCAGTACAATTGTGTATTACATGAGCATCTTCAACCAGGTGTTAGATACCTGTGTTTCATTTGACCTAGTCCGAAATTGCACTGAAGTGTGAGTGAGTGAGTTTAGTTTTATTCCGCTTTTAGCAATATCCAAGCAATATCCAGGCGGGGGACACCAGAAATGGGCTTCACATATTGTACCCGTGTGGGGAATCAACTCCGGGTGTTCGGTGTGACGAGCGAACACTTTAACCACTAGGCTACCACACCGACCTTGCACTGAAGGAAACAACAGAATGAGACAATAGCTGTATTTTAACACGACACTCTCCGGTTGTTCAGTGTTGTCATGGATCAATAGATGTTACTTACAGGTGCGCCACAAACTAACCTTTTGAGCAATAAATCTGCCAATCAACAGCTGCTCCCGTGCAGCACATGGCCCTGATACAATTGTCCATATACTCACAAAATCTTGTAAGAATCATCTTTTGCAAAGGGTAAAATGATAAGCCATTTTCCACATTCATTTTTTATGGTTTTCACTGAGCCTAATTGAGGAATTTATACAATATTTATCTTATAATACACATTATAACATCTTATAAGAATCATTTACTGCAGATGGTAAAATAGTCGGCCATTTTCAAGAAGTGATTTTAAATGGTTTTCACTAAGACTGTAAATATATCAAATATATTGAACAGTTTCGCCAAGCGAAGTTCGTGTCTTCTATGGACTGTTTCACATGTTAAATGAAGGGTGTTTTGGAAATACGCTTTCAAAGAAAGTTTCATTTAGGTCAATCAAAATCGACTATAAATTTTGAAAGTCACGTTATTCATTTCTATCCAGCAGTTTTGGATTACCTCCAATTTCATAGACCCGTGAATATTGCTGAGTGCGGCGTAAAACTAAACTCACTCACTCACTCACTCACTCCAATTTCATAGCGAATGTTTTACAGAAGGTCTCATTTACATAATCAAGTCTTTGGTAATGGTCATATGAAGAGCTGGAGAGCCCTTTAGATACCAACAGAATAACTCCACTCAGTTGATTAACGTATTATTTGCAAGATTATGAAGGAGTACTCGGAAGCCCCATGATACATCCTGAAAACAATAATAAAGGAAGCGGACCTAAAATATTTGCACAAACCCACGCATTCGTCACCATCGGCATCTTTTGGGAAGAGTAACTTCCCTTACAAACATGGCCGCGCCCATGAAAAATGTGGATCTTGGTTTTGTCGCAGATGATTTTGATCCAAGACTTTTGACAAGTCGTTTCTTTCCAAGTAAAGTTGGTGGTAAACCTGCGTGGCTGTCACTGTCTGAACTACCGCCAGTATTGTCTTGCCCGACATGCGGCGCACCATGTGTGTTTTTACTTCAAGTTTATTCACCCAGAGAAGAACAAACTAACGCTTTTCATCGAACAATATTCATTTTTCTGTGCAGAAATCCAAGCTGCTGTAAAGAGAACCATAATGGTAATTTTATTGTATTGCGGTCCCAGCTTGCCAGGGAAAATGATTTCTTTAGCCCGATACCACCAGACGAAGACAACCCGGATGTGGTGCCCGGGGGGTTGGGGAATGTGGGCGTGGCACTGTGTGTCGTGTGTGGATTAGCAGCACCCAAGCGATGTGGGAAATGTCATAAGGTGTCCTACTGTAGCAAGCAGCATCAAGCTCTGCACTGGAAGGCCACACATAAGAAAAGGTGCTGTCAGGAACCAGATGATGAAGGTACCATTATCATTACACCTCTTTACAACAACCAAGCTCTTTCAGTAATACATACTAGTTAAGTAGTACTATATCGACAATGAATAGATAATATTTATCTTTTTGTAATCTTACAATCAACCGGCCAAATCATTTTAACCATATACGAATCACCGTATGAAATATGGCCTGTCTGACAGCCAGAGAAGTCTAGACTTCTGACGGACGGTCTAAATTTACAGCTAGCCAGCCCGATGGTCTGATACAAATTTGAGATGTTCCATACATCTGAGTAAATTCACCATATATGGTCTGGTTCATCATCATGGCTGGTAACATTTTGAAGTTACCAGTCCTGATGTCTAGGCTGGACACAAGAAGGTGTATTTCATACACTGTCATATCACCATCTCTAAACTTTGATGACATAATTGCACATAACAAAGGCATCAGTGAGACAAGACAATAATTTTTCTTAGTTAGTAAACTGTCTTAGTCAGGTCCTACAGTAAAGACATGAGTGTAGCATCCCATTGTTGGAATATTGGCTACTATATTCTCTTCTCCATGTGAATTTTCCAAACAAACAAAACAGTAAGGATGTTTTATGTGAGCAATCACATTACTATCCCATAATTAGATATGTATTTTTTCAGTGTAAATGAAATCATTTATGATGATAGTGATCTTTGACAGTGTATGTGTAAGTTTGGTTTTAATTAATACACTATGTCAAACATGTTAATGTGAAAACATTGCTCTTTTCAAATGCTACATTATTGTTCTGCATTTTCTGCTTTAAACATAACGTATGAATTTCTGTCTTCAGTGGAAATCCCCAACCTGTTGTTTCCACAAGCAGAGTTGGTAATGGAGGAAGAGATTCAGCAGAAGGATGCCCAGGCAAGAGAAAAGTCGGAGGCAGAAAAGTTGCGAGAATATCAAGACCTCCTGAAGACCAACAAGGAAATTGGAGCATCTGGCCTTGATAAAGATGAGCTAGAGAAGTCAGCTGTGTCTGAGACAGAAGATGATAAACAGTTTGCCAAATTCAAGGCCAGAATTGCTACAAATCCAGATCAGGTAGAAGGGTTATATGCAGCCTATAGTTTGCTATCCACCGCCAATATGCTACAGTCTTTATAGAGAAAATGTTTGCTAATGTATGTGAGAACAAGCTATTTTATTATGAAGAGAGTCATCATTCTCATGGACCTGTGAGGATCTGGGTTAGAATTGATCTTCAGTAACCCATGCTTGACGTAAAAGGCGACTGACGGGATTGGTTGGTCAGGCTCGCTGACTTGGTTGATACATGTCATCGTATCCCAGTTGTGTAGATCGATGCTCATGCTGTTGATCACTGGATTGTCTGGTCCAGACTCGGTTATTTACAGACGGCTGAGTGCGACATCAAAAACAACAAACCAACCAACCAAATCCATGTTTGTCTGCACCAGACACATGCCTCTGGGTATGACTGAAGTGCTGTGTATCTGTCACCTGCATTACTGCAGGCATCACTTCCCCCAAAAAGTGAGAAAGCTAGGTAATCCTGCTGTCAATTTTCTCAAAGACTTACGCCTTGTTATTTATATTTTGATAGGTGTTGCGGTATGATCAGGATGGGACACCTCTGTGGATCTCTACCAGCCATAAGCCTCAGCCGAGTGACATACCTCCCTGCTCATGTGGGGCACCGAGACAGTTCGAGTTCCAGGTGAGTCAACTAAACCATGTACACAATTCACCTAATTTAACCAAATACTGGATGGAAGTCCTGTGTTGAACCTTTTTATCTATCTGTAATAATAGAGGATTACTGGTTTTCAACGAATACTCCAGAAATGTTTGCAAGTTCCAGTTTGCTTTTATGACTGGAAACTAGTATACATTGATGACTTATTTGATTCAGTAATTTTCATTTCCTGTGCACAGGAATGCTGTTTAGTAGGTTTTTCTCTATTTTTTTCTTTGACTGTGCACACATTCAAATGTTGCCATCAGAACAGTGATCTTTAAGCAGGACATTATTTGCTACAGATTAGTTCATAGCTCAACTTTTCTAACCTGGGTGACCTGGGCTGTCTTTGTTATGAGACTAGAACACTGTTCAAAGCTATATTATATCCAGTCTAAGTAAACTAGTAGAAGGTCGCATCAGCTTACCTTTGAGCGACCTATGACCGTCCAATCAAGCGCGAGATGGTCGAACGGATTTAACCAATCAGACAACTACTACTTGTTAGAGTTTGGCGGGACTTACAAAACTGTTTTTGGATTTTCTCTTCCCTGTTCGCTGACACTGATCTATCAACAAACGAAAATCCGCATAAAACACAGATATTTGATCTGCAGCATATACGCTTATGGGTTTCTAATGTCATGGTTACTATTAGCTTATATTTCCGCAAGATGACATCCTTGAATATTGACAAAAATGCTATTTTCAGCAACTGTTTACTCATTACGTCCTCCATGTATATCACTTGGAAGCATTCAAATTATTTAGGTAAAGGTTTAAACAGTATTTGCGAATGTTAACTGTCATGATTTGGTAAGCTGTGTTCTGATTGGTCAGCATCACGATATGGCTGAAATATTGCCGATGTGACATTAAATATTAACTCACTCACTCTGATTGGTCAGTCCAAAAGGTTAGCTGATGCGACCTTCTACTAGGGTTTGTTAGACTCAGTATAGCAGTGTAATGAATAATACTGAGCCTAAGTTTACTAATTAGACTGTATTATATCTAACCCACTTGTCTGACAAACTGTGTGAATATTCATAACTGCATTTCTTCTTTCTCTGGTACAGTGACATTGTTGACTTCCTTTACAGATCTTACCACAGTTGTTGGCATACCTGAAGGTTGACAGTGTTGGGGACAGCATAGACTGGGGTACATTGTGCATCTACACCTGTTCTAAAAGCTGTGATATTGGCAACAAGTACCAGCCAGAGTTTCTATGGAAACAGGACATTACAGGGGGTAATCCTGGGACGTGATCTTCCAGACAAGACTTGTCATCAGTTGATGCAAGGACGAATAAACATACAATTTGAAATGTGTCCTGTTATCAAATGCATAATTACTTTCCAGTGTACCATTCAATTTATAGTTATAGTATGACCAGAAATTATTGAGAATTTTAGGAATATGTTTAATTGGATTTCTAGTATAAACAACCTTGACCAGCTATCAAGTGCTTGGTTTCATTCAAGAGATACAACTCCGTTAATCCTTTTTATTAGTTTGTGAAGAGTTATCCCCCTTTGTTTACTTGCTAGCAGACGACATTTTCACTGACCCTCAGTATGGATGATTTAGAGAAGAGGAAGTTGATTTTAGAATATTATAACAAGGATCAGCTAAAGTGATTTCAAGTAGAACAGGCATCCCTTTGTCCACTGTTTAGGGACCGTTCATAATTTATGGCTAGGGGATGATGATGATTTTAAGGGGGCTCACCCATTTTGTTCTGGGAGGTAGGGGTCATCAATTTTGTACAGATTTTTTTTTTTTTTGGGGGTGGGGGGTCAGCAATTTTGTACATAAAAATATTCAAAAATTATGCTTTAAAAATATGGAAAGGGGAGGGGGTCACTGACTTTGTACATAAATTTTAGGGGGTCATTCACATTGTACATGCTTCTCCATAAAAATCATCATCACCCCCCCCTAGCCTATAAATTATGAATGGTCCCTTATCATGTTTTGAAAAATGTTGCAAATAGATATGGCATTGAGCACCAGGGAGGCGCAGGTAGGCCCAGAAAATTGACTGTCGGTGACAGGAGAAGGCTTGGTATTCTTGTTTCTAAATACAATCGACTGAGTTTAGAAAACTTAAGGCTGGATATGATTGATAGAGGAACTGTGGCTGTCTGTAAGGAGACAATTAGAACTGAGCAGTATGCAATGGGTTGGCAGAAAGGTCGAGGAATTCCATCAACCAATGAACAAAAGGAGCAAAGGTTGAACTGGTGCTTACAGCATAGAAATTTTAACTGGGACAATGTGATTTTCTCAGATGAAAGTTCTGTGTGGCTGTTTCCTAATACACTGAAATTCTGGACCAAACAAACTGAAAAACCTTTGTATCAGCACCCAAAGTACAGTCCAAAAATTAACGCGTGGGGTGGCATATCTGTGTTAGGGGTAACGCCCCTCTGTGTATTTGAAGGGAATATGAACAGTGAGCGGTACACAGATATTGAGGGACATTTACTTCCATCTGCTCACGTGTTCTATGGTAATTTTTGGATTTTGCCAGCAGGACAAGGACCCAAAACATCGTTCAAAGGATCCACAGGCCTGGTTTCGGACCAAAATATGACATTATTAGATTGGCCAAGCTATAGCCCTGACCTAAATCCAATAGAAAATGTTTGGGGACTTATGAAGGAAAGTGTCAATAAGAAAAGTCTGACAAATATTGCTGAAATGAAAGAAGAGGTGGTCCGATATTGGGACAGCAGGGACCATGACTTTCTAACTTCTTTGATCAGTAGTATGCCCCCCGCATTGAAGCCTGCATTGCTGCCCATGGTGACTTGACAAAATACTAACTGTTCACCTGTCTTTGAATCTGGAGTTATGTTCTGCTAATATTCACATTTACTACGTGAGTAATGAGTGAAAAAAATTAAAAAATTACAATCTTTAAATTCTCAATAATTTCTGGTTGTACTGTATTATGCTTCTTCTACCATAGAGACAAAACATATTCAATGAAATATGAACCATCTCTATATCATGACTTGTCAATATTGTCAAAGGCAGTCTTTCATCTTTCAGATAAGTTCACCACCCATCAATTCCACAGGGTATCTATCGACTATGATATGTAATTGACTGCACCACAAACATAGATTCAATGGCCAATGTTGAAAATAGCTGTGCAAGTGAAAGCAAATGGATTCTGTGCAAAGTTACTAATAACACTTCCTAAGTGAAGCTTTGGTTGCATCTGATATACAATGGGACCCGTGAAGATTCAGGTTAGAATTGGTCTTCAGTAACCCTAGTAAGAGGCAACTAACGGGATCAGGTGGTCACTCTCACTGACTTGGCTGACACATGTCATCATTTCTCAGTTTTGTAGGACGATGCTCATGCTGTTCATCACTGGATTGTCTGGTCCAGACTCAATTATCTACAGACCACCACCATATAGCTGGAATATTGTTGAGTGTGGTGTTAAACTAAACTCACTCAAAGCACTCTCATGCCATGTTGTATTGCTACATGGTGAAAGCGCTTGTTGGTCATACAAACTTCCCAAGATTGATACATAGAGAATATCACCCGTGTGGCTTTTGATGTGAAATATGTAAAGAGACATGTCAATGGAAGTTTTTAAACTTGTTTCAACACTTGAGGATAACAGGTTTTTAACTCTGGGGCTTACCAAAAGACTCGAGGACTAAATTCTATACTCCCCATCAAAAGTTTAGACTCACTAGTGTAAATGTAGCCACTTACTTCAGTCAACTGTTCTGAACTAGATTTTGTAAAATAATCCATACAGTTTAAAGGTACTGTTTATACATGAGCTGATGTATTGTAAAACAAATTCGTGACGTTGAAAAGTTTATTGTCATGTGTTCAATAAATGATGAAACTCGGTGAAAAATGGCGATTTTTTATCAAAACTTTACACCAAAACGCAGCTGTTCACATGCACGATATTTGCACATGCTTTTCAGCAATTTGATGCATGATCCTCGTGCAATTAATCTGCATAAGGTTTGCAGATGTTTCCCCCAAGTTAGTGGAGAAATTCATCTTCGTTGTAACCATATGTACATACATAACTTATAGTGATTGATTTAAGCAAGTCTAAACTTTTGATGGGTAGTATATTTGTCATTCAAATTCATTCTTCCAACTTTTTCTGTTTATGACAATGATAATCAGTCTCTTGGTGTACAAAGTATACCTAATCAGCTTCAGTGGCAAAACATTAGTCTTGTCATTTGATTATGATGTCATTGTACCTTTGATTGGCATTTTATACCGATGATGTCACAATGGTCTACAAAGCATTGTGATACAGTTTCATTTTAGCAGTCTCAGAAAATAAATGTCCTTAATCTCACTCTAGTGATATTCCCAATGGAAGCCGGTTGGGATGATTAAATGTTTGAAGCCTGTTTTTGATGTCCCCTGTCATATTGCTGGAATGTTAATAAAAGCAGCCAGCAGCAAAACGTGTGCAGAGTGAAGGCAGAAAGCTGGAAGGGTGTCTGGACAGAGGAACAATGCCAGACTCCATGCAGGAACAGAATCTATCTCAGGATATACAGCCCTTCATATTAAGGAGCTTGTCTAAACAGATAGGGGCTGTGGGGTAGCCTAGTGGTTAAAGGGTTGGCTCCTCACGCCAAAGACCTGGGTTCGATTTCCAACATGGGTACAATGTGTGAAGTCCATTTCTGTGTCCCCTGCCGTGATATTGCTGGAATATTGCTAAAAGCAGTGTAAAACCATACTCACTCACTCACTCTAAACAGATAACACTGATGACATGCTGTAGCCGATTCTTGTTCGTTGAGGGCTTACTATGTTTTGTTTCTTGGAATATAAAGGTTCTTTTTGTAGAGATTTCTGTGTCCCTCTGAGCTGAAGATCACCTCAAAGTGACCTGCTTTACATTTGAATTACATTTGACTCCTGCATTACCAGGAGGTTAGGCTCTACCTTGGGGCACAGGTGGCCCAGTTGTCCAAGGCATACCAATTGTCTGTGCAGAATGGTCTCCCTTGAGCATGCCAGGAACCTGTGGTTGTGGGTTTGAATCTGGGTTCTTCTTAGTTTTGTTTGTTGGTTTGTCAGCACCATACATATTGGTGTAGGCTTCACATTAAACAGTTGGGTGTGATAATCCTGGAATACATTTGAAAGCAGCATGCAGCGCAACTCACTAGCACATGAAAGGGAGGATGTGTGTGTGTGTGTGTGTGTGTTGTTCACCGACGCTGGTGACTGAGGCTTTGTGTACATGCTGCACAGATCTCATAGATGTTTTCATGATATTTTCAAGATTTCAAAAATAAAACAATAAAATGCAAACTCACCTTATTCATATATTTTTGTTTTCAAGTGAATCTCAATGATATTCCATATACTTCTTATTTCGGCTGCAGGGATGTGATATTTATACAAGACAGTCGGATAGGGAGGCAGACATTAGCGTGAATTAGGAATTACAATTCGCCATATTACATGGGACGCGCCAATACGCACAGCCGTTTTAGACCATTGGGTCACCAACGGCCAACAAAAACTAATAATAAAGCGACAGAAAAAAAAAGAAAAGATTATGGACCAGACAATCAGTGGGTCCCGTGGACCAGACAATCAGTGGGTCCCGTGAAGATCCGATTTAGAACTTGTCAGCACCTATGCCTGTCTTGAGAGGACGGGATCTGGTGGGCAGGCGTGATGACTTGGTTGACACATGTTATCGTATTCCAAGTGCGTAGATCTGGTCGAGAAAAACCAAAAGTACAAACATATTACCAAACCATGTCGCCAAATAACGTCAACGTTTCTTTAACTTACCCGAAACATATAAAAAAGTTACAATATATGATTGTCGTGAGAATAAATGTGGCGAAATTCACGATATCTAGACAACACACTCACTTTTGCTATACACAATCAACGGAGGGTATATTGGATTAAGATCTGTAAACAAAGAAATGTACGTTTCGAACGGACTGAAAGACACAATTTATCATAAATACATTGCGCTACTGCAGAAATGTGTTCACTGAATAAATATACCCGCAATATGTATCGTACTATTCACTTTTCAAATAGTGTTTTATTAAATAAATAGAGAAAATAAAACAAATTTACCAGCGGACGCAATTCCCACTCATGTGTGCACAGACATTAACAACGGTATAACGAGTAACGTTTGCACTTTGTCAAGAAACTTCTAACTAAAAGGGACATTTGGGGGGTGAAGTGAAATAGCGCCAAGCCACTGGGATACAATACGGCAGTTTACCATGGATATGTCACTCAAACATAGTTTACTTTTTAAGGC